ATGCATGTCATCTTTAATACCAATCAAGTTGATATTAGAAATAAGAGAAGGCAATACGAAATGGTTTGTCCAAACTACCACATCTGATTCTATTCACATCTCATTTACACACCATTATCATACATACACAAATTGAATTCTACCTTTTCAAATGACAAAATTCACATTTTTCATACACATTAACATAGGCGCATACAAGTTGTAGTGAAGGAGAACACAGGTGAGGGCAACCGAATTGTATATAACGAAAATTACAGAGTTACTCAGTAAAATAGAAAAACTATATCGTAAACGGTTAATTTGCAAATCTTCAATCCATCATCAATCCATTGTCTGACATTTCACTATTCATTCGTTTCATACAAATTCCATTGTTTTCTAACTCTTCCTTTCTTGATCCTCCCCCACATCTTCTGCTGTTAGACATTACGTTTACACTCGCGTCATATACTACTTATAAGTAGCGCGCACCACAAAGTGTGTCAAAAATAAGAATAACCTTGACCAAACTGATACGATGATTATCGACTTGGTCGGACCTGTTGCTTATTAATGAACTGATTGGTCGTACTAAATCTCAGCACAAATCTAAATTTATTTATTCTCTGAAGCGGTGACTTACACTGAATCACAAAAAGCTCCAGGTAATTTAATCTTATTCACTAGAATACCACAACGAATTGATTATTAAACTGTGCCAATGTTCGAAATTCAATCAATAAATAACAACGTAGAACTTCGTACGTACGTACGTACATTAGTTCATGTTCCCATACTACGTTAGCACAGAGATGTAATTGTCAATTCAGATCCAATAGTAGTAGAGTTGGTAAAAGTATTAGCAGCAGTCGGAGAGGTTAGGATTAGAAGACATTAGTCAAGAAGTAAAAACTAGTGAAATAGACTTAAAAAGATAAAGTGATGAAGAATTAAAAAGTTTAGGGTTTGAGAGAACACAACAAGTGGATGCACCCACGCCAATGCAAACGGTTTTGAACCATGTCATTCAAGGTCGCTAACCATCGATTACTAACATCTCGCGGACCCCAACCAGATAGTCGACACCTACCGACATGACTCAGACCATTTGTCAATGACTTCATGGATTTCTGCCATGTTTTGGTTTGACCGCCCATAGCTTTCGTCCAACCTGTTCGAAATTCAAGCATGTTGATTACTATGAATATTGATTTCAAGCACCTAGTTAAGCAGTATAGTATATTTGGTAGTAAAGCAAATATTTCTTCAAAAAAATTAAATTCAAATATATTATCCCTCTTGATCTGGACCTTTTTGTCTAACACAAGAAAAGTGAAGTGGGGCATGATAGGACACTAGGAAAGAGACATTGCAAGCTAAATGACACTTGTATGAAGAAATAGGTGGGATAAGAAATGATAATTACAACACCAAATGACAGAACATAAGTGAAATATATAAGCTATTTCATGAAGAGATTTGGAAAATTAGTTATTCTCAATGTAACAGGAAACTGTCTGGCAATTCCGAACTTCTCGGAGTTATTTAATCTTGTGAAGTGTCCGACTGGTAGAAACTGTTTTCATTGTGGTGCAGACAAAAGTTTAAAGTTTATTCCACTATCCTAAAGTAAGCCTAGAATTCAGTAAGTCGAAAAACCGTAAAGAATAAATTTTCTGAACCTCATTTCAATTGCTAATCTAATACACTTATCCAATAGTATACATAACCAGATCTCAACAGTAGATAATGGAGCATTGTCACATCATTTTCAAAATAAATTTGATGTGGTTTCTATTGAATACATGTGTAGCGTTATTACTAATTCAATAGTATGAGATATTTGTATGAAACGACAAATATTTCCATATATAATTACTCCTCTCTTCATATTTCATTATTAAGCATTCATGCGAGCTCATAATCTTCTTTTCACCTACTGGTTAGTTTATGACTACTAGAGGTATGATTTGAAAAGATATGAGGATTTCTACTTCGTTATGTACAATTAATTGCTTACTTGAGTTTGTTGACCCCGATGGAGCATAGGTCGCCGACCAGCATTATCCAACCTACTCTGTCCTCCGCCTTCTTTTGTAGTACTGTCCAGCTGTTGTTCATCCTCTTCATGTCTGTCTCCGTTTCTCGGCGTATTGTGTGCCTTGGTTTTCCTCTTTTCCGCTGGCCTTGAGGATTCTAAGTGAGGGATTGGCTTGTGATGCAGTAGGGTGCTTTACGCAATGTGTGTCCTATCTATTTCCAGGGATTCTTCCTCCGCTGCAATCCGGTTTTTTTCTGTTCCACAGTAGGTTGTTGCTGATGGTGTCTGATCAACGAATCCGAGGTATTTTGCGTAGACAACTGTTAATAAATACTCGTAACTTCTGGATTATGGATGTCCAAGTTCCCGCCCCATACAGTAGAACTGTCTTGACATTGAAAATTCTGATTTTGATGTTTGTTAACAGTTGGTAGAAATGCAGCCATTGCTTTGCCAATCTGCGCCTTCACATTTGCATTAAATCCACCTTGCTCGTCAATGATGCTGACTAGATGTGTAACGCTTTCTACATCCTACAGGTTATGTACAGTACTAACAGTTTTTCTAGACCCTCTTTTAGTCAATGCCAGTAATGAATACGCTTAATAAAAACGTATATGTATCCTATCAGTTATGTTTCTTTAGTTTGACTCCAGATTTTAAACAGATGTTAACTTGAAAGTACCTATCGGAATGTTATCATTTCCACAAACAGTTACGGGTGTACAATGAGCTTGAAAGTATCCACAACTGGTATCCAGTATTCATATAGATGTGAGTGATCAGGAAAAATATCAACACAGAGACTTCCAAAATGACTGAAAATATTTTATTTAAGTCAATTAATCAACTTAACGAGGTTCTCAAAATACAAGGGAAATAAAACTCGTTTAATTCACTGATCTCAAGATGACCAGTTGACTGGTTTACATACATATTTATGGGACAGTATACAAAAATGTATTTCTACGTAACCCTAACTTGAACCGTTCTCACTAGTTCGTTAATTACGCTACGCCATAATACTATGTTGAAATGGATGTTCACTATATTCTTTGATTAGCAATAGTTTACTTATTGGTGTTCATGTGTTGATAAAAGAGATTTCCCTTAATTGTTGTTTATTTGTAAGGTTTAAACTGGTAACACATACATGTAGAATTAATTCTCGACTTTTATCGTGATGATACTACATACTACTAGTAAGTAGTTTGTCGTATGCAGCTCTATTTGTGTGAGTTGTAAACCGTGACGGGCGATAGTTATTTGTCATGGTGAAACAAATGATGATATTTATCCAGATCTCTGCTTTAATTCAACAGTTCTTTTGCTTTTATATGGTCTAGCCCTCCAAATTTGTCTGTCTTTGGAATAGATGATTAAGGACAGTTTGTCTGTAGCCTAATTTTTCCCATAATTGCTGATGTCGTACGAAGTGTGTGAGTACTAGAAGCATCACTCTATTACCTGTACCAGAAAGACTCCAACAGTGTTTTTGGACCGAATGAACGATTCAGCAAACGCCCCGATTCCGGAAAAAAAGACTGGACTTCGTAAGTCTCGATCATGTACTGATTAAATTGCGACACTACACATCATTCTTCAACAATCAATTAAATGAAACTCATCACATTACGTCACCTTGCTTGACTATGGGAAGGCATCTGACAGAATGGAATAGAGAACCCGATGGAACCTTCTTTGACACTATAGTGCCTGATAAGATTACCATCATCATACGGAATTCTTACGACGGACTACACTACAAGGTCGTCTCTGGACAGCAGCACAGATCCATTCCAAATTAGCACTGGTGTTAGACAACATTGCCTACTCTCTTCTTCTGGTGGTTGGCTTGACTACGAAGACTTCTACATCTTCGGAGCGCCGCAGAGTAAACAGAACACCTGAAATGCAGCTAGACGATTCAGACACTGTAATGGTTTAACTCTTCTATCGCATATACAACAACAAATGCAGATGAAGTTAGTCAGTGTAGAAGCAGCCTCTGTACTAGTCAGTCTCAACATTAACAACAGAAAAAGTTACATTCTGAAATGCAACACAGAAAACACCCACGAAATCACAGATGATGGTCAAGCTCTTGAAGAGATGGGAGCTTTTGTGCACCTGGATAGTATCGTTGATAAACGTGAGGGTCTGGTGAAGTTGCGAAGAAACGGATGTGCAAATCTAGGACAGCACCCCTACAACTGAAGCGCATCTACAACTTAAAACAACATTTTACGAAACACCAAAGTCAGAATTCTCAATACAAATGTCATAACAATTATGTTGCACGGAGTTGAAATTCACAGAACTACTACAATCAACATCAAAAATGTACGGATAACTCTAACTTGCAATCCTCAAGGCAAAAGGAACAATTTGTGGAAGAAGACAGCCAGCAATACGCTTGTGTTGCAAATGGATGTTTGAAAATAAGGTGTGTACATTTTGGCTAGTAAACTATCTTCTTACCGGCCTCGTTCATTACACTAGTATTAAAAGCACACTACTGATTGCGTGAGAGTCTAATTCATTGGATCAGGTATGTGTTACGATATTCACCAAATATCCTAAGAGTACCATTTCTGGAAGTATAATCCTATTGGTCGATTTCTATTGGTCAAAATTATGGTCGTTTTAACTGTCAAAGTCAAATAATTCAATGTTGTCTCTTATTGGTCATCCGGACTGTCAATGTCATTTCAAATGTTCTTTCCTATTGGTCGTCATAAACTGTCAATGTCACAGACTTTGATGCTCTTTCCTATTCGACCTAAATGTATAAATACGCACTATCTGTAAGACTTCATGATTCCGTTCCTTCCTGCCTACCTCTCTTCTGTACTCGACCCAATAAACAACTCCATCCAACGGTGTTGTGTTCTGATATATAGGAGATTTGGGAGTAGTATTTGGGTCGTATTGGAATATTTGAATTCGGACGTCGGTAGGATTTGAATAGCTACGTAGCAGCATTATAACAGTATGGTACAGAATTTGGATATTCTCATAAAACAATTAGGAAAATTCATGTCTTTCATGTAGACATGTAGGTTATTAGTTTTCGATTATAGATGTCTTCGAAACATAGCCTGTATATCCTGGGACAACCGAGTAAGCAATACTGTTGTTAGGAACCGTGTACTAGGCTGGGATAGGAGATCAACAGATGAAGTAGTGAAACCTCATCAGTTGAGGTGGTTGGGATGTGTGGTACGTATGCCTAACCACCGAATGCCTCAACGAGCTATGTTTTGTGATGCAGTAACAGGTTGGAAGAAAGCTAGGAATTGCCAGACCAAAACATGGCACAAATCCATGAAGTCAATGACAAATAGACTGAGTCATGTTGGTAGATGTAGACTACCTGGTTGGGGTCCGCGAGACGAAAGTCACCAATGGATAGAGACCTTGAATGGCGTGGCTCAAAATCGTTTGCAATGGTGCAGCTGCATCCACTCGTTGTGTTCTCTCAAATTCTAACCTTTTGAATTCATCATTTCTATTTTCCCACTGAATTATATTTCTTGAATAATATCTTCAATCCCTAATATTCTCTCTTACCAGTAATTCTTCTACTACCTGAACCACTATGGGATTTCAACTGACAATGGCGTCTCTGTGCTAATGTGGTATGGCAACCTGAACTGATGTACGTACGTACGTACGAAGTTCTCCGTTGTAATTGACTAACTGAGTGATTGTTTTTCATGTTCAAACAACAACAAGTGATATTGGATGAAGGGAACATTGTGCGTTAATGGAAAAAAAAAGTTGAATTTTATTCAAACAAAATGATAGAATTAAAGAGAAAAATGAAATCTTGTCAAAGAGTAGCTAGTTTAAATTTATTTATGCAATAGTTAGATTACATGATTAACTAACTTCGTCTAGAGAACACGTTATATACAGAATTGGAAAAAAATATATTATTACATAATAAATATAATTATTTGAGATGCCAATATTCCAAGGCTACATTGTCTTCATCTGTAGCTGGACGTTGTTTTTTACTACCATCTCCACTGGTTGTTGTTGTAATCATTTTCTCTTCTTCAGATATACTCTTAACAAGTCGACCTCTATACGGTCCTAAAAGTGTAGCATCCGCTTCAAAAATTGACACTCCTTTAGTGTTAATCATAAATTTGTCTGTTAATTCAGGGCTTTTCAAACGTATACGTACTAAGCTACCACGTGGATAAAATTGACTAGCCGGTTGAGGACAAACACAATGAAATTTTCCACCAAAATCTATGTAAAGATCAGTGTCATTGACATTGTCAATCACAACGCCAATTAACTAAACAAACACCAAAGAAGAAATAAAAAAAAATACTGTAAAAAAATATTTGATGATTACAATTTAAGATGGCGACAATACATAAAATACGACACAAATTATTAGTATATTTGTACTAAGAAGACAAAGTTATCATAAATAAAATTCATGTTACATACAGACAGACAGATACAACGCAGAACTTCGTACATAAGTACATCAGTTCAGGTTGCTATACCATGTCAGCACAGAGACGTAACTGTCAGTTCTAATCCAAGAGTGATAGCGATAGTAGAATTATTAGCAGTAATGGAGAAGATTAAGGAGCAAAGATATGATTCGAAAAGTATAATTCAGTAAGATGAATTTAGAAGGAGAAAGATAGAGATTATGAGGAATTCAGAAGGTTAGAATTAAAAAGTACACAAAGAGTGGATGCACCTGCGCCATTGCAAACTATCCTGAGACATGTCGTTCAAGATCTCTAACCATCGGTGACTATCGTCTCGTGGACCCCAACCAGGTAGTCTACATCTACCAACATGGTTCAGTTCACTTGTCTGTGACTTCATGGATTTATGCCATGTTTTGGTCTGGCCACCCCTAACTTTCTTCCAACCTACTCCTACACCACACAACATTGCTCGTCGCGGCAGTCGGTGGTTAGGCATTCGTAACATAATATGCCATGAAAAGATAACATGACTAAGAAAAAGATGTTTTGTTGAATACAGCTTTTAAAATTCTAATAACCTTGGTGAACAAGTACATAGCATAATAATTTAAACGAAACTATCAAATATTCAGTATCAGATCAAGGCAGCATATAAGACCTATTGACCAAATCCTCTCTCTGACATGATCTAGACAGCTTTATTAATCATTTTACGGACTAATCTGGATATAAATCCTATGCGAATAGGTTGCAAAAGAACCAAAATATTCTGTAACATTTCAATTAACAAGATGTCCGTCTTGAGGACTGCAGCTTTTAATTATCTGAAACCTCTCTCTCTCTCTTCTTATACGAACTCATGAACTTAACTACTCAATGCTTACTCAGTGATTCTGTTGCAGAGAAACAATGATTTGAACATATAAAAGATCAATTACCTGTAAACATTCTAATGTAATTTTCTTTAAAAAAGCAAGATATGCAAAGCAGAACATACAACAGATACTTAAAAATATCTAAATTTAAAAACTGGACTCGTATTTTGAAGTTACTATGCACTTGGCAGATAAATACATGTTTTTCACAAAATTGAAGAAACCAAATTACGTACATAGACATCTTGGAATCGTAAGAATAGGTCGGACACATAGGATAGTGTTAAATAATTGTTTGGAAGTCAGTGGTGCACTTGGGTAGTAATTGAATAGTTTGAGAAATCGTACTGGTCATAGGTTTACATGGGACTTTGTTGTTTATGCAGATAAAAACAATGCTGTAGCTAAACTTTAGAAACGAAATACTATACCAATGTCTATTTTTTTATCGTGATTTCTTGATGCTTGAGTGACAGAGTAATCGTATATCGTAATATATATTAGCAAGCATTTTTATTTACATAAAACTGGAATTATCTCCAGCTACACTGTTTTTTATTTGACGCATGCATACTTTTACATTTTAAGACGTATTTAAAAGAAAGGCTGAAAACAAAAGAGATTTTGTCTCTGCATGAGTACTATACAGACATACGGGCAGACATTGTGTTATAACGCTTGCTTAGATAATTCGCAGCTAATTCCTATTGCTTAGTGTTCTCGACCACAATACACTGGACAAGTTCTAAAGAATCAAAAACACGGTGGAACAGGAAAAGATTATATTCCAAATAGCAAGGTTAAATGGGAATAAGAAGCCGAAGGCGAAGGCAAAAATAGATACAAAGTTAGTTCCATTATAGTATTTACATGAGAAGCTTCTGGATAGTAATTCACGTGATCGACTGGATTAGATTCAGCCAATCAGAGTACAACTGGCAATACGAGAATTTTCTACCCTGTTCTCCAAGAATCGATCAGGCGCTGATTGGATAGGAAATTAGCCAAGCAGTGCGCAGCAACGTAGTCATGCTTTAATTCCATCTATGTGCCACTAACACATTGTCAACATTGAACCTCATACATATTAACAAGCTAAATTACCACATGCTAATCTAGACTTCAGTATCTGTGCCTAGATTTCTTCAGATATCAGGCCATTAAGATTGATAAAACTCCTAAGATAAGTAGGGCAGTTGATACGCCGAATAACTCTATCCCTTATCACTAGTCCAGGCGCCGACGTAAGCCAGTCCTCAAGTAATGTTTTGCATTTTGGGGGGGAGAATCGCACCTCGAACACCCTAGCATTGTTTTGAAGGTAGTCAAGAAACTGCATTTTGTCGGTGTCTTTACCAAACAGAACTATGTTATCTGCATATTCTGAGTCAGTAAGTGAATCTATCGATCAAATTTCAACACCTGGAAAGTCAGACGATGGAAGTGTCGCCTCTAAGAGTATATCAATAGCAAAGTAGGATAAGAATTGAGATCGTGAAAAGTTTGTACAATGTTAATGCACTTTCACTGAGAGATACTGCTACAGAAACTCACGATCGACGCCGAAATGAGTGTTTGTGTTTTAGGACCTGTCGAAGTGTGATTATCTGGTCTATACAGTCACGTCTAGGTCTGAAACCAGCCTGGTTTTCTCAAATCTGCTCTTCAAGAGCTTTAGTTAGGCGTCGAAATGTTATCGAAGCTAATATTTTAAACTCTATATTAGTCTAACTGATTCCAAAGTGATTGTTGCAAGAGAATATCTGTCCTTTCTTACATATTGGGACAATTAGTGATCGAAACTAGTCAGATGGAACTACGTCCAGTTCCCAGATTCGAGCTAAGATCCCAGTCAATCTAAGTGCTTAAACTGGACAACCATCCCTGAACTTATATTAGCTATCTAATATTCAACCTCATTAGGATTTGGAGGACAGATCAAATTGCCATTCAGGTGGCTTAGATACAGTATGTAGCTGGGATTGTACTGATAATTGAACAATTCCCTAAAGTATTCTGCCCATCGGTCCAACCTTTTGGATTGAGAGCAATAAATAGTCTTGTTTTTTTTCAGGAGGGCCTCGCTAACAGTCGAGTTTCTAAAACGAGTTTCGTCCATACATACAATTGTGGTTTTTCCAGATGTAAGGCAAGTGGTTCGGCAATGAATATGTGAAATTTAGCGGTGTATTATTTCAGAAAGTCTCGTTTACTTCCTACATGTCCCTATATTTTCAATTCTAATTAATATATTTAACTTAATTATATTGATTAAAAATTAGAAAAAAGCATTCAGACCATGAAAATTGATGAGGTAGTCAAACTAATCAAAAGTACATAAACCCACCTCACGAGATTTAAAATCTCCCAGCTGAATGAACGGGCTATAACGCAACAAGGTAGCAAAAGACTTCTCTGGGCCTTTTGGATGTCCAGAAAGTAACTTAGAAATATTCATCTCCTTTAGAAATGAACTCATTGTCCAAGGAACGAATGAAAATGCAGATACAGTTCGTTTCTCTTCGGACTCATTCTGAAATAACCGGTACGAAAATCCAATAATGAACTATATACAATCTACCTTTTCGCCAGAATGCTTTTGAAGGTTAGAAGTCGGAGATGGATTAACAACGGATTTTGAATCATCAATGGTATCGGGTAATGAATTTTGGCTATTATCAGAGAATTCCTTATCCTCAGTTATTGAGGATTCAGCCTTTTTAAAAAACTTTGTCAATTTTTCTGGATCAGGAATAGGATCTTGGTCTGATAAATTTGAATTTGAACAACAATATCGCTGACATAAAAGGGAGCTTTTGCAAGGAAGACATTGTATATGTCGACTGAATAGAAACGTTCTACAGGAAAGATATAAAACACAAAACATAGATCTGAACAGAGAGAGCTTTTTTAGATCACATTTTACATTGATACTATCATGGAAATTCAAGCAGTGTGATTCGTCGCCCCTAAAAAAACTGAGTGCAATGAAACTCCTCTTATTATTTTTGTGGTTACAATAATTATAAAATAGAAACGTGGGGCAGAAACTAAACGGTCGCAAGCTTTAAAAACACTATTGGCTTACTGAAACTCAAATATAAATTGCACTAGAGACACATGTTTTGTAGCCGAACATGCGGCCTACCTTAAGGTCATCCCTGCAACGTAACCCTCTTATGACCCGCCTACAACGGTTTCATGTCACCTAGGAACACTACGTGAGATAAGGATGACCACCTCTCCATAAAAGCGTGACATTAGGAATTTCGACTGCCGTTTAACTTATTCCCCCTCATACCTTTATAGTTACATGTACATGAGAGTTGAACAATGTTCGCTTAACTTTCTAACGATAAATGATTTATCCTGAATGATGCTTTTTAAGGGCTTGGAGACATTTCAGTAGATCTACAACAGTAGAGAATCACTGTTATTTATGTCTAACACGAACAATCTTGAAAGTATTTAAAGACAGGAAAACAAAAATATTTCCTGCTTTCATGTGTGAAGATTATAGTGAATTGTGGAAAGAAGAAAACTACTAAATTACAACTAAACATTTCAAATTTTTAGATCTGTTGTGACAAATCACCACAAATTCATACTGATTACGTCGAATTCGAGTTGTCGCTTGAGACTTTTCGAAATTCTAGACTTATCAGGGCTTATGGTATTTTGTTAGATTATTTCAAATTCACACCTGCTGTCGCGGTACAAACGTGGTATAAAAACGATTACTTATAATTCCTTGTTGCTTGATTTTCGTCGCATAACTTCAAAAAAGATAGAATTTCAGATCTTTTCACGATAGTCAGTGACGGAAAAGCTGAGAGTTAGATAGGGAAATTTGAATGTCCGAATAAACCTGCTTCACTTCCGCTCAACAAGCCAGAAATACTACTAATGGATTTATTTCACGTAAAATCATCTGTAACATGTGAAATAAAACATTTCAAAGGGGCTCGTCCGCCGTGGCACTTCACAAATAATACAAACACTGTTTACTAGTTGACAGAAATCCTATTAATTTGCTTTCGATTCTGGCAGCATAAGGTCAATTACTAGTGGGAAAAATTCATTGTTTCCTAACGACGAATTCCATCCAAAACCTATATTCATTTCAAAAGCTGGTATTATTTGTCACAGATTATCGATAGTTTGCATTGATAAATCGTCAGTAGAATTTCGATTGTTGGGGGTACGAAATTCCATTTCAGATGACCATTGGACTAAAAGAGCTATTTAAAATTACAGGACGCAGTCAATAGTCAGATGATGATGAATATTTGATCTGCGTGGTGTGCAACTTTCTCGAAGACCGAGCGAGGATTATCCAGGCGATTAGGATCAATATTCGCGATGTGATATGCTCAGTTATTTCGTCTGTTCTGTGTGATTTAACAATAGGGGGCTACTGAGTATGGAATTTCATAGTAATGATGTATGATGAACGAATGAAATACTTCAGGCGTCATTCTAAATTGAACAGTGCCGTTAGGAAAATTATTAAGTAATTGAATAAACCACGTTCCTTCGGTAATTCGGTAATGTGGTCGAATAAAATTTTCAAGGCACACATTATCATAAATAAACTTTGGTAATGAAAGATTTAGCATTAACTGACGAAGTTCACTCACAGAACATCTATACACCTTGCACAGTTAATGATCAAGATTGATGTGATCTATGTGTATATATATAATACGAAATGAACTTATATGTTCAATATAAAACAGTAAAACATATATGAAAGCGGAAAACAACCGCTTGAAAGAATGAGACCAAAATGTCTTCAAATTTTAACGCATTCAACAGTATCCAAAGTTAGGTAGTTAAACTTCGACACAAGATTAATACAACGAATTGATAGGTCAGCTAATTTTGGAACAAATTTACCATATCTTTCATGTGACGAATACCGTTGTACCCTGAGCAGATAATCGGGGACCGATATACATGCAGGACGGTGAACCCTTACCGTTCAAGAACTGTAAGACCTCTCTCAGTATATCGTGAAGTATTTTTCCCCATACAAAATATTGAATAAAAGCTAAGCCAAAAGGTGGAGATAACGTTGAAACTGACAATCTGATTGATATATGGCCACATTCGTATCACAAAAGCGTTTGAATAACTTTGGAAGACATTAATTATTCAACTCAGTATTTAAGGCATGAACTACGATATTATATGACGATTCGAAACGATCAAACACATGAGATAATTTAATCGATAACTTTCTGGAATATCGCAGTCGAAGCATCTATTCTAAAAAGTGTGAATTTTTATCTAAGCAGCTAGAAAGGTGCATTACAAATAGTTAGCTCGCTAGACATTCCGTCCAATAGTATTTGAAGGTACACATTTATTTTTAAAGATACTTTGGACCTCATAATTCACGTGGTATATCTTCATTTTCCTCAATGACATAGCTCAGTTTGAAGTAGCCGACAAACAGTAGTTAATACAAATCTGGGTGCTTTCCGATTTACATTCAGTGGAGTGACAATGTAGTATACCAACTAGACGACTTAGCTGGAATCATTTTTTCTTTTGCCAGCTGGTTGGTTTAATTCGTTTTTCATGTATCAGTCAAGCCATATAGAATTAGTCTACGCTTCAAGAAGACAGGCTCTTCCTTTACCTCTAGCTACACCGGCTAGATTTTAATACCTCGCCTAGCATACCAGCACTTGAGACCAGGTTTTTGATAAGGCACTATCAGCAGAATTAGTGCATAAATAAATTAGAAGGTCCAGTGATTAAAGGTCTTTTTGATCTCAAACACAGTTAGAGTACGCTCATTTATTATGAAATTGATACTGACATAACTACCCCTCTCCTTTCTCAGTGAAAAGTTAGCTGTGCTGGTTGTTCTTATGAACTCTTTCTCATATAAACTGTCAAACTGATAACTTTTCTCTTGTTCTGATAGTTGAAACCTAAATGAACTAATTAGGTCAACGGCAAATGTATGCGCAATGATGTAAGAACATTTTGGACGCGGAATCCTAACAAAATATTTCCTTGGCCTCATGATTTCGATAAACGCATCTATTGTTTTGTACTAACTTTTTTGATATTTCGACCTGTTCGTAAAGTAGTGGAAGCCATGTTTTTTGCATAAGTTTGAGTTTTGTTTCCGAGGTTCATCATTTTTGTATCAATACTTATAAGGCTAGTGTAATATGAACTGGTTATTCAGTGTTATTTTCATTTAACACCTGCTACATTTTTCGCAGCTATTCACCGAAAAATTCACAAGTAGTTTCAAATGAATTACTGCGACCAGAATTATACAACACTGGCTTAGTCAAATATGGTTTTTGAATCATCAGTTTTATCAAACATTTCTGCTTCGTGCTGTTTTACTATTTAAACATGGTTTAATTTACATCATTTGTTTTTGCTCTGAAGATCTGGCTTACACTGAGTCGCAAAACGTCGGAAACATTTGAAGCTTCCTACGCATCGGGATACTACAGATATATTATTTTCATTACTCAGTGTCAACTAATATTATTTCGCAAATAGTACGGATATATATCACACAATTTTCCGAAACAGTTGGACTCTGTATTTTTTAACTTATTCCATTATGGAATTCATATCAATACTTCATCTGTTTGGTGAAATTGTCTTACGGTACCAAATGCCACCGTTCATAAATCGAAATGAATGAAGCATACCTTTTCACTATTAACTTAGTGTATCACAAGTGTCAGTCACTGTAGTGAACATTTCCAAATGACTGTTTACAGGAATAATGCTTCTGCTACTTAATGTCAAACAGTCTGAGACCAGGGATAAAAATCCTTATAAACCCTCGAATTTACCGTTAGATTATATTCCAACACTGCAACTAGCAATTCAGTATGTGCTAAATGCCACCAAATGAAGAGTTGCCATTAGTCATGACTGATTTTATCGACTCATTTGCAGAGGGTCAGATTTACGACAAATATTATTCAAGACATGTTTTTTGTTCCAGTTTCAGAAGTCATTCGTTTGACGTCTACAATAAGAAGATCCACATACTCCTGTGTATTCTGTTGTATTTCGAAGACGCTAATTTACCCATCGTCATTCATTTCCCAGAGTGGCACATTCAATCTAGTTTACAGTCCACGGGTTTACTGACATCAGTTTTTTGGTTCAGATACCGAATATTTCACAGTGGGACTAAAGCGTAAGGTGTTATGAGAATTTGCTTCTCTGAGTTTCTGTCTTTATCACTCGAAACCTTCATTATACTAGTTAGCGACATGGACCGGCTTCCGTCTGATATGAGAACTTCTTCTATTGGGAAATAATTTATATTATAATCGTTTCAGCCAAAATTAATTTGAACTGTATGATTTGGCAGGTTAAGAAGCGTGTGAACTAATGCAAATCTGCTATTACTTAACTTATATAAACTTGAATTACCATTTATCTTAAAATCTTTCTGTCCTTTCAACTGAGGTCTATTAAAAAGGCATTTCATTTAGGTTGGCTTTTTGTCGTGTTTAGCTGTTTTCTTCAGACTCCAGAGGCGAACCAGAGGATTCGGTATAGAGACCGCTACTCATGTAGTTGTAGTAAACTTATAAATAGTTGCCACAAAACAGATTTCGTGGTAGGGGGAGGTCTCTTTTAAATTGAGAATGTGGCACCTAATGAATCAAGACAAATAGGATTTATTTGAACATTCTTGATCGATCCCTACTGTCCTCAAACAAACGTACTCATTCGAACCACGGACATACAAACTCACAACCAACTGCCAACTGGCCAGCATTAGACAGTCGAGTGGCTAGATCCCCATTGATTGGATACTACCAAACACCTGGAACCGTAACGAAAGATCAAAAATCGAGCGATAAGAGATCAATTAGTTTATACTTGCTCGTGAAAATACTATTGGATAGAGGATACTGGAGAAGTTCAGAAATACATAAACTCAGAAAAATCATCATATTTCCCCTACTTTGTTTGGAAAGTTCTGATTAATAAATAATATATATTTAAGGTAAGTAGCATAGCATAAATTGCTTCTTCAACAACCATATGATTCGACTTTTGCGTTACAATACCCTTGATGGCTAGTACTAATCGTTCAGTTAACTGTTCAACGGCATTGCAGAGACTGAAACAAGATTACTTAAGGCTTTCAAAGGACCCAGTTCCTTATGTTACTGCTGAACCACTTCCGACTAACTTGTTTGAGTGGCATTATGTTATCAAAGGACCTGCCGATTCACCTTATAAAGGAGGTTATTACCACGGGAAACTTATTTTTCCCAGAGATTTTCCATTTCGGCCCCCTTCAATATACATGATAACACCAAATGGTCGTTTTGCATGCAATACAAGGTGGGGAATGATGTGATGTAGTTGACCTTTCTTCTAGACTTTGTCTATCAATAAGTGATTTTCATCCAGATACATGGAATCCTGCATGGTCTGTTTCATCTATACTAACAGGCCTACTGAGCTTTATGTTGGAGAATACGTGTACTATGGGTAGTGTCGTGACGTCAACAAGCACTAAAAAGCAACTAGCCAAAAGCAGCGGGGATTTTAACCTTAAGTCTGAAATTTTTTGTGAACTATTTCCTGGAATTGTTAAAGTAAGAAACTTTATAAGTGTTGTTTATTTTATATTCAAAACTTATGCTTCAGTAGTGGTGTTATATGTAAACTAAGCAGTTTTGTGCATCTCCATTTTTGTTAAATCATCAATTCTTTTGGAATGTCTGGTGTAGTAGCCTGGAAAAAAGTACGGGCAGCCAAACTCAGACATGTTATTAACCCTTCAAGTTATCGACTTGGAATAAGCCATGGTAATAAATGTAGACTATCTGGTTGGAGTCCGCGAGACTATCATAACTGGTGGTTACAGACTTTAAATAACATGGCTCGAACTCGATTGTCGCAGATTCACCCATTCTTTGTCTTCTCACAAAAATTGGTCCTCTGAATCGTTCTTAATCTATTTCCCTCTCAACTTTAATTTATTGGATTATACTTCTTGAATCATATCTTCGAACTCGAATCTTTTCAATTACCGCTTATACTGTTATAACCTCTACTAGTATGGGATTTAAACTAATATGTGTACTCATAAAATTTGATGTTGCAGCTGACTGGCCTGTCAAATGTGACTAGTAGTAGTAGTAGCCAAAACAGAATTTCTTGCTTAAAGCTTGATACCACTTTGCATTCCACGGTTTATCAACGAGTATAAGAAATCAAATTAATCCTAGTTAATTAGTTTAACCTAGTAAAAAAAATGGCGAGCACTAATACCCCTTAAAATAATTCTGATAAAGTTGACCCGATTTCTAGCCAATCAAAAAGCAAATAACATAGATCAATAATATATCACGAAAATAATCAGAGGTTTAAGCTGATAATTAGAGTTCTGATTAGGAATTAGATTCATAGTTTGGATTTAGGATTAAGATTCTGTATAGTTATGCATCGAATAGCAAGTGTATTGTAGCCAAATGGATAAACATTCAGGCAACCAGTTGAGTTGTTTTTAATATCAGGAACCTTTATCTTCAAAATTGACTATTCATTATCCCTATTCTGTAATCCTCCAAGCTCTTCAATTTTAATCCTCTTCAAATCTGTCAGTTATTTCACTTTACATTTTCCGTAGGTTACTGGTTTTCGATCATAGGTGTCTTCAAAGCATTGCTCGTATATCGTAGGACACCCGAGTCAGCAACGCTGTTATTAGGAATCGGGTGCTAGGTAAGAATGGCAGATCAATAGACGCAGTAGTGACACTTCATCAGTTGGAGGTGGTTGGGACATGTGTTGCGTATGCCCAACCACCGACTGCTTCGTCGAGCTTTGTTTTGTAGTGTAGGAATAGGTTGGAAGAAAGCTAGGGGCGGCCAAACCAAAACATGGCACAAATCCATGAAGTCATTGACGAGTGGACTTAGCCATTTCGGTAACTGTCAACTACCTGGTTGGGGTCCGCGAGATGATAATAATCAATGGTTAGAGACCTTGAATGACATGGCTCAAAATCGTTCGCAATGGCGCCAGTGCATTTATTCTCTGTGTTCTCTCAAATCCTAATCTGCATTCTTCAACACCTCTAGTTTTGACTTTCTAAACTTTTCTCATTAAATCATACTTCGTGAATAATATCTTCTCATCCTAACCTCTCCGATTACTTCTAATACTCTTACTCACTCTTCTACTATTGGATTTGAATTGACAATTATATCTCTGTGCTGATGTGGTATGGCGACATGAACTGATGTACTTACGTACGAAGTTCTACGTTGCAACTGACTGACTGACTGACATTTTCCGTTTAAGTTCTTGGAGCTTCTTATTAAAGTGCATGGAATCATATTTACATTCGGCCTTAAAGATTTTTCAGTGCAATCTCTGTCAACTGAAACAAGATGTTGCAAGTCAGTATTTTTCGGAAATGGATACCCTGAGAGATCTCTAGATTGTAAGTCTTCATATGCTTTTCCGAAATGGATTACTGTTAATAGTCAAGACAAAATAAGCATATGGTTACGGAGATAAAACAAACAAACTAAGTTAAATTTCATCCTACCGATAGTTATAACAAATAATTAGCCAAAAGAAATAACCAAAAATGAATTCGGTTACAAAATATCGAAAGGAATAAAAAAATTGAAACGAACATGACACAAGATTTTATTTCCATTGAGTTAGGATAAGTAAAGGCTAAAGATAGTAATCAGTAATGAAAAAGTACATATCGTACGTACGAAGTTCTACGCTGTAATTGACTGACTATTGAATTAAATGTAGTGAATTTTACAGTTGGTTGATGTACGTACATACGTACATCAGTTTAAATTGCCATACCACATTAACATAGAGAGATGGAATGGTCAATTCAAATCTCATAGTGGTAGTAGTGGTATAGGTAGTAATCGGAAAGATTGGAGTCCGAAGATATTATTCAAAGATTATAATCTATTAAAATAAATTTGAGAAGAGAGATGATCATGAGGAATTCAGGTTACATTTTGAGAAGATGCAAAGAATGGATGTACTTGCGTCAATGCGAACGATTTTGAGGTGTCATTCAAAGTTTCTAACCATGGGTTGATATTGTCTCGTGAAACTCAACCAGGTAGTCTACATCTACCAACATGTCTCAGTCGAGTTGTCAGTTACTTCATGGCCGCCCTAGCTTTCTTCAGGCATATCCCTACATCACAATACGTCTAGGCATTCGGTGGTTAGGCGTACGTAGCATATGTCCCTACCACTTCAACTGATAAAGTTTCACTACTTCATCTGTTGATCTGCCACCCTTACCTAGTTCACGTTTCCTAACAACTGCACTGCTTACTCGATTGTCCCAGGGTATGCGAGCAGTGTTTCGAAGACACCGATGATCAAATCCTGGTAAGCTACGTATATCCTCTACTCTTGGTGGCCATATTTAACACCCATGTAGTAGAATGGAGCTAATTGGTGCTCGGTAAACTTGTCCTTTGGTTAGCAAATGAATATCTCGCCTACGCAGTAAGTGACGCAAGTTGCCAAATGCCAATCAAGCCTTCTGCATCCTTGCTGAGATTTCGTCTCACCTCAAGGCATCAGCTCTGATAAGACTCCTCAGATAAGTGAATCAGTCAACACAGTCAACTACCACAATCCCTATCACTAGTCAAACTTCGGATGAAAGCCAATCTTAAACGAATATTTGGCATTTAGAGGGGGAGAATCGCATCACAAATGTGCTTGGATTGCTGCTTAAGGTGGTCAAAAGACTGGACTTAGTCCGCATCTTCACCAAATCAAACTATGTCATCGGTATATTCCAAGTCAAGTAGTGAATCTTCTGGTGAAAGTTCAACTCCAGGAAATTCAGACGGAGTTGGTGTCATCTCTAAAACGTTACTTCTGCTTTAGAACTTAATGCTATACCTACTCCAATGAGGTCACAGGAAGCAGCGCTGGAGATGGTTCTTTATTTTGACATGGACTGGTCAGATAAATGATGCTACTCACATCCAGTATGCACGTTTCTGAGACGCAGCAAACATGCTAGCTAAGGAAGCCTGTTCTGTTTGACACAAGATTCGAACATTGAAAGCTCCGACGTTCCGTGTACATAAATCGTTAGTGCTAGCAGCGCCAATAGATAAAAGAATGTGAGGAAGTTTGGTCATGTAGGTAACAGGGTTATTATGTGAGGTAGGAAGAATTTGATTGTAACGAGTTTGGTCTCGTTTGCTGTTGTGAGTATGAGGGCGGATGTCGCTTCCTGACTGCCCACACCATGGAAAGGTGCTTCTCGAGGAATCTGAAAAGGAAGTTGGATTATTGCTGGTCTTAACGATCTGGGAGCGTGACTACAGAGCCCAAGGGAGAACTGCTTGTAGCCTATTGCGTACGGCCTTTCTATGGGAAGTTGACATGTTAGCCCCGCTCGTTAAATGGCCTTACCGCCGGAGATGGAAATCCGTGAGGTAAGGCTAAGTGTGACATTTTTACGGTCGACCTTCTCTAACCGCTTCCTTCCTTGTAAGAAGGCAACATCGCTACAGATGCTGGTTGTCCGAGGGAAACACTTTACTGCTATCACACCCCTCTGCAGTCAACAGTACGACTTCGCCCTCAAACCTTGAGTAGCTGCTGCTTTTAGTCTCATCGTTCTCCAATCGACCTACCTGGCATGGTAGGACCTACAGAAACATATGTTGCAGCCAATATAGCTCGGTTGGGTCATCACTATAGGCAAACTCGACCACCAAGTCAAGGTAGCAGCTACGATCGGGAAACTAATGGCAACTTTTCATTAACAAATACGAACATTTTATTTATACCATTCGTATCGCAATCGCTAAAAGAACAGTAGTTTAGTCATTTTTGGATTGATCCATTTTTTAGTTTGTAATCGTGAATCACTATCCTATTATTCACTGCTAACCAACAGGCATTTCAACAAGCTAAACTTACTGATACTAATAATTTTATGGTAAACAAACTTGCTAATTTGACCCTTTCTCTAACAAGAGGCTGCATTTACTCAGTGAACTTTAATGAAAGTAGCGTGCATATACATATGTCACATTCTCAACATATTTGAAATCGAATGACTCATTCTTACCATGCATAAGATCAATGCTTCAGTGTCATCAGACTAGCGCATGTATAGGCTTGTTTTAAACCCTGTTTACTTCTGGTAATTTTGATTTCCTTTTCCCTGGGAAAATCAAACTAGTTTGCTGAGCAAAATGAGGGAATTTGTAGTGTATACTACTACCATGTCAAGCTTATGTGGATTATCCTAGCTTTTGGATAAACCAATTAATTTATTCTTTCCCGAGTCAGCATTCATGCACATTTTAAACCTGTTAGTTAGTTGCTTGCAGCTTTAACTGTTTTTGCTTGAACATATGCATCCGTTACTCAATTCATTATATATCTAGCTTATTTTGATCTGGCTGTAAGTAGTCACACCTCATCGAATTGAACTGAACCACTTACCTCTGCTTCTCATTCTTATGTCTATCTACATAAAACATTACATCCCACTTAATCTGTATTCGATTTCTCATTAACGCTATCATTCAAACGAGGTTAGCCTAGGTTAACTATACGAAGTTATATGAAAGATTTATTTTCATGGCATATTTAGTTGTTCCCCTCTAAATCAGAATCAGATCTCGGGTCACTCAAAAATTGACTTAATTTTAGTCGCTCAAATAATCTGAATATTGACTTTACATTCAATTGGAGTACATGATTCGAAAAGAAATAGTATAAAAGGGGGGGGGAGAATACGAATTAATTTCATGGGTGCTACTACTATGACAGATTCTGAGCTGTTTCTGAACATCTCTAACCAGTGATTACAGTTATTGTCCACTGATGCAACTCATTCTAACAGTCAGCAATTTCATAGACTAAATACCATATCTTGACTTATCTGCCCCTAGTTTCTTTCCAGCCTGCTTCTATCTTAGCTGATATCAAACGTTATGAGGTCAACATGCGTAACACATTCTAATCATTTCAGCTAGTAAAGATCTATGGCTTCTATTTTTACTTAGAACTCTGTTGCTAGCTTTTTAGTTGATTGCGTTTGATCCCGATATTACTTAGGTAAGGTCAAGTGAATAACCACGCCATTATCATGTATGAAGGTTTCGGAAACAATATAAATCGACGACACCAGAGTTGATAGTCTTATTTTATGAAACATGTTGCTTGATTTAATTCAGAGTTCATACATCGGAAGCATCACAATATGGTCTACAGGGCAGTTTAAACGGATTTAGGATAAGATTTTATGTATTCAAATCATCAGGATCACCAATACATGTATGGAAGACAGAAGGATTGATGGCAAGAATGGGATTTTGTCTCATTTCACTTGAAATAGCATTCATTTAGCATTCAGGACGACTTGACGTATATGACATTGATCACTATTCAATGATCAATCAGTTGTAAATAAATGTAACGTGTATAAAGAAATGAGAATATGTTAGGTGAGTAATGGTTTTTATATAAGATATAAGATTTTGCTGCTACATTTTTTTAATGACATTATTTCTATTGATAAATGTTTGCATGAAACTACTAGTACTATCATTTTACATTTTCATGTTAAAGGAGATTCGTGAAAATCTCCTAGCTGAAGAACTTCATAATAAACTATTGAATTCATCGAATCAACGTCAATTACAATCTGATGGAACGGCTACTAATAATTCCGGTGTAAATGGTGAAAATAGAAATGAATGGCATATTTCCAAATTATTTGTCTTGATTGTATTCAGTATATTTGCTTTTCTTGTACAACTTGTTATGAGATTTTTAGAACCTGTTTGATAGAAATTATTCCTATTGAATTGGTTATATATATGTACTCTGCTGTGGTGTTATTTCACCGCTATCAATACAAACATAAACTATGATAAAACAGTAATGATATATATTAATTATCACATAATATAATGTGTAAGCAAGCATATTGATCATTGTCTCATTCGTTGATCATTGCCTACTCTTATTGTTCTTTCCAATTGTAAGATTACTACTACTACTACTTCATGTGTAATCAATCATATCCATTGATTGATCGGTTGATTGATTGATTGTAGATTTCAATTTGTTATTATTCTTATTATTATTGTAATTATTTTTTTTGATTTTCTTCTTCTGTTTATGAATTAAGTGTCACATGATGTTTATGAACAACATAACACACTAATGTACCTACAATTGTTACAGTGTGTGTGTGCGTGTGAATAACTTTGTTGTGTAATATATATATAATTAATAAGTAAACACAAGAACAATATGTATAGATAGTGATGATAATATGATTTGTTTTTATTTTAAATTTATTCTACTATTTACTTACTTACTTACTTATTAATGTTTTTAAAAATACATTAAACCATTTCATATAAGTGAACATTCTCTGTTTGTATTACTCTCACTATCATCTATAGCTAGCTAGTTAGTTCATCCTTCAACATATTGTTCGTGTTTTTTAGATGTTCAAATGACACTGTTACAAAATTTTTCAGTGCTAAATTCTTGCTTGAACTAGATTATTAATTCACTCGGAGATGTGCGCCATATTATTTGATTTGACAATATCCGTTTCTTAACTAAAGAACGAGTGTACTGAGCAGCAGTTCGCTCCGTCCTACTTTATGGCTGTGAAACATGGCCAGTCAGAGTAAAAGATATTCGTAGGTTACTGGTTTTCGATCATAGGTGTCCTCGAAGTATTGCTCGAGTATCTTAGGGCAGCCGAATAAGCAATACTGTTGTTATGAAACGGGTGCTAGGTAAGGATGGCAGCTCAATAGATGAAGTATTGAAACTTCATCAGTTCAGGTGGTTGGGACATGTGTTACGTATGGCTAACCACCGACTACCCCGTCGAGCTATGCTTTGCGATGTAGGAATAGGTTGGAAGAAAGCTAGGGGCAGCCAGACCAAAACATGGCATAAATCCATAAAGTCACTAACAAATGGATTGATTCATGTGGGTAAGTGTCGACTAGCTGGTTGGGGTCCGTGAGATGATAATAAACAATGGTTAGAGAGCCTGAATGATATGGGTCAAAACCGTTTGCAATTGTGCAAGTGCATTCTTACTTTGTGTTCTCTCAAATCCTAACATTCAATGTTCCTTATCACCTTTATCTTTTTCAAGTTTATTTCACTAGATTCTACTTCTTGAATAATATCTTCGAACCCTAAAATTTCCTATTACTGCGAATACTTTTACTACCTCTACTAATATGGGATTTGAAGTGACATTTGCATCTTCCTGCTAATGTGGTATGGCAACTTGAACTGATGTACTGACGTACGAACTTTTACGTTGCTGTTGTTGATTGATTGAAATGAGCGCTAATCGTTTGTCGAGGCACTCAAACGATTGTTCTTATGAGATAAGATCTACTCGTCGTGCTCATTAATAATTCGAAATCGTCTTGTTTGACAGTATTTCACCAATTTTAAAGTCGGTGGTTCCTAGGAATAAAGGTTTCTGAAAGTAACTGAATCACATAGTAACCACTCTGTTTGGTGGTCGGCTACCGCGGAACTGCATTTCCTGATGTTGCTTCATTGCCTTGTAGATTAGACATATAGGTTGAAATTCCGGGAAGTGTCTTACGAAGGAAAGCACCCACTTTAGGCATCCGAGCAGTATCCCAACCCATTCACAAATTCAATAATTTATGTGGCGCATTGATATTAAGGTGCCCTGTTTGTTTGGAAGACTACATGTGCTATAGTATGCATTTCTAGCTTTTATTGTACTGGTAGACAGCGCACAGGTAGTGTACGTACTGTAACACTTGCTTAGATAATTCCTATTGCTTAGTATTCTCTGGCAACAATACACTGGACAAGTTCCAAAGAATCAAAAACACGGTTTGAACAGGAAAAGATAATATTCCAAATAGCAAAGTCAAATGGAAATACGAAGGCAACGCTAGTTTCTTTATAGCATTTACATGAGAAGCTTCTGGATAGAAATTCACGTGATCGACTGGACTAGATTTAGCCAATTAGCATGCAGCTAGCAACACCAGAATCATCTACCCTGTTCTCCAAGAATCGATCAGGCGCTGATTAGATAGGAAATTAGCCGATCAGCGCGTAGCAACGTAGTCCTGCTTTGATTCCATCTATGTTCCACTAACAGTACGGAAAACCAGTCTAGTGCTTGGTTCAAATACAGTATTTTTTTTAATCTAAATTCAATCATTGATACAGATTGGCAGTGAGTATGACTCCGCTGGCAGTGGCTATTTCGCTTGCAAACTTAATACTATACCTACATCTAGGAAGCCATGATAAGTAGTATCTTCCTAGTTCTGTACATTGAGTAGGTTTAAGTGAATGAGGATTTTCAACAGAGTACATCATTGATACAAGGCTATATTCTTAAGTCATAAAGCCGACTATTCCAAGGCTTCGACATATAAATTGAGAAGTTCATATGAAACTGAATTGCATCTTGTGAGCCGAAGTCACTAAAATTTTGCTCGACTTTTCTCCATACCATCATAGAACTAAGGTTTGTAACAGATATCAAAGATTAATAAGTTCTAACCAACAACCGACTCTCTTACATTGACAAGTCCTTTTCATTTGGAGACTACGTACAGCCTAAATTTTTCTCTACATCGATGGGTTTATAAACTAAAGTGAAAACTGATGCATTAAACAATACAATTACTCACCCAGTCTCATTGAACTGCCTAACTATGAGAAGACAACCCTTAATCCTCGACTAAGATTCCCGACCGTAGCTTCTACTTTGACGTGATAGTCGCGCTTGCCTATCGTGATGACCAAGCCGAGCTATTTTGGCTGCGAAATGTGTTCCTGTATGTTCCACGATTGGAGAACGATGAGACTAAAAGCAGCTACTCAAGGTTTGAAGGCGAGGTTGTACTGCTGACTGTAGAGGGGTGTGGCAGCAGTAAGGTGTTTCCCTCGGACAACCAGCATCTGCAGCGATGCTGCCTTCTCACGAGGAAGGAAGGAGTTAGAAATGGTCGACCCTAAAAATATGACACCTCACGGATTTCCGTCTCCGGCGGTAAGGCCATTTAACGAGCGGAGCTAACACGTCAACTTCCCATAAAAAGGCCGTGCGCAACAGGCCACAAGCAGTTCTCCCTTGGGCTTTGAGGTCACGCGCCCAGGTCTCTGAGACCAACGCTAATCTACCTTTTTCAAGTTTCTCAAGAAACACTCTTCCGCTGTGTGGGCAGCCAGTATTTGACATCCGCCCTCATACTCGTAACAGTACACGAGACCAAATTAGTCACAATCAAATTCTTTCTACATCACATATTAATCCTGTTACCTACATTCTTTTATCTACTGGTGCTGCTGGCACTAACGATTTATGTACACGAAACGTTGGAGCTTCCAATGTTCGAATCTTGTGTCAAATAGAACAGTCTTCCTTAGCTAGCATGTATGCTGCGTCTCAGAAACGTACATACTGAATGTGAGTAGCGTCATTTATCTGATCAGTCCATGTCAAAATAAAGAACCATCTCAATCCGTGTTTCGTGTAACTAGGAGCCCCAGCGCTGCTTCCTGTGACCTCATTGGAGTAGGTATAGAATTAAGTTCTAAAGCAAAAGTAACCTTCTTAGATTGTATTCCAGTAGATGGTCGCTTGTGCGCTGTCCGACTAAATGGGACAGTAAGCACTCGCTAAGTAGAGTCAGTCAGTCAGATCCAACGTAGAACTTCGTACATAAGCCATACCACACTAGCACAGAGACACAACTGTCAATTCAAATCCCTTATTGGTAGAGATAGTAGGAGTACTACTGGTAACAGAGAAGATTAGGGTTCCAAGATACTGTTCAAGAAGTATATTTCAGTGAAATAAGTTTAGAAAGACAAAGGTAGAGGTATTGACCAATCCAGAAGATTAGGATTTGAAAGAACACAACGAGTGGGTGCACCTGCGCCATTCCAAACGATTTTCAGCCATTTCATTCAAGGTCTCTAACCATCGGTTACTATCGTCTCGCGGACCTCAACCAGGTAGCCTACATCTACCAGTATGACTCAGACCACATGTGCACTAGATAAATCTTTAAGGATAATGTTCAGAGATCACATTTTCAAGATTGATCGGATTGCAGTTTAATAGTTATGATATATCCAATTGACCATCTTTGTAAAATTGCGTGATTCCCAGACAGACAGATACAACGCAGAACTTCGTACGTAAGTACATCAGTTCAGGTTGCCATACCACATCAGCACAGAGACGCAACTGTCAGTTCAAATCCAAGAGTGATAGAAATAATAGAAGTATTAGCAGTAATGGAGAAGATTAGGGAGCGAAGATATGATTCGAGAAGTATAATTCAGTAAGATAAATTTAGAAGGAGAAAGGTAGAGATTATGAGGAATGCAGAAGCTTAGAATTTCACAGAACACAAAGAGTGGATGCACCTGCGCCACTAAAAACGATTCTGAGCAATGTCACTCAAGGTCTGTAAGCATCGGTGACTATCGTCTTCCGGACCCCAAACAGGTAGTCTACATCTACCAACATCACTCAGTCCACTTGTCAGTGATTTCATGGATTTCTGCCATGTTTTGGTCTGGCCGCCCCTAGCTTTCTTCCAACCTATTCCCGCATCGCAAAACATTGCTCGACGAGACAGTCGGTGGTTAGGCATACGTAACACATGTCCCAACCACCTCAACTGATGAAGTTTCATTACTTCATCTATTGATTTGCCATCCTTACCTAGAACTCGTTTCCTAACGACAGCATTGCTTACTCGGCTGTCCCACGATATACGAGCAATGCTCCTTAAACATCTATGATCGAATAATAGTAACCTACGAACATCTTCTACTCTTAACGGCCATGTTTCACAGCCATATAAGAGATTTCTATGCCATATAAATGGACGGAAAGTATAAGAGCTGTTAAAGACGGTTCTGATTAACAAAAAAAAAGAGTCAGAATATTGAGACTTTTCGATTTTATTGTTGATAAGTGTTCATCTGCTTGTGTGTTTGCTCTATACATTTGTTTTGGGAAATCTAAATCCCAATTTCATTTGTTGTATAAGAGCTGTTAACAACTTATTGCAAATAGTAATATTTACTCTCTAGTGATAGTGTTTTATAAATACTACCGTATTTACTGTGTAATAGCTTGCTCAGTTAGATTCATAATAATAGTAGTATGCGATTCACGCTCGTGTATCATGGGACAACCGTATAAGCAATGCTGTCGTTAGGCATGTTACATGTGTTACGAATGAGCAACCACCGACTGCCTCGACGAGCTATGTTTTGTGGTTTAGGGGAGTAGGTTGGAAGAAAGTTAGGGGCGGGCAGACCAAAACATGGCACAAATTCATGAAGTCACTGACAAGTGGACTGAGTCATGTTGGTAGATATAGACTACCTGGTTGGGGTCCACGAGACGAAAGTCATCAATGGTTAGAGACCTTGAACGACATGGCTCAAAATCGTTTGCAATGGCGCAGGTGCATCCACTCCACTCCTAATCTTCTGGAATCGTCAACACCTCCACCTTTGTCTTTCTAACCTTATCTCACTGAATTAATACTTCTTGAATAATATCTTCAAACTCCACAGTCTTCTTCATTACCATTAATACTTCTACTATCTTTATCACTATGGGATTTGATTTGACATTTGCGTCTCTCTGTGCTAATGTCGTATGACAACATGAACTTATGTACATACGAATGTACGAAGTTCTTACGTTGCAACTGATTGCCACTGATGGCATAGAAAAATAAAATAAAAGTAAAGTTGATATAATACATTATATATATATATTATATTATATTACATGCTACTATTCTCTCTCTCTCTACAATTTTAATCACACAATAATATTTTGTTTTCTCCCTTTTACATCATCATGAATATCGTCGCATTAAATTATCATCATCTTTTGAATAATTATTATTATTATTTCGATAACTTTTAGTAAATGAACGTGATTTAAAATCTGAGTAAAAATTGTTTTTCTTATTTACTGAATAAGAAGAATTGTATCGTGATGATCGAGTTTGCTCTTCAGCTTCTTCTTCTTCTCCTGTAATTTCCATATTAGCATATTCTAATAATAATTTTGGTACTTTATCTAAAATACCAACCGACTGTAGCAGTTTACATAAACCACGTGATACAAATTTACTAGATTGTTGTTCACGTAATGCAATTTCATTGATCAATGTGATTGCTTGGCCAGATTTACCCATACGACCAGTTCGTCCAACACGATGTACATATTCATCCAATTCATTTGGTAAGCCAATATTAATCACGGCAGCGACATTTGGTATATCGATACCACGAGCAGCAACCTGAAAAAAAATCAACAATTGATAGATAATAATATTAATAATAGTACTATGAAGTAGTTTAAAAGTAAACTAAACAGGAATCATATCAATAATGCAACTAATTGATAGATACAGTGATATTAAGTGTTTTAACGCTTGCTTACATAATTCCCAGCTAAATCCTATTGCTTAGTATTCTCCGACCACAATACACTGGACAAGTTCCAAAGAATCAAAAACACGGTGGAAAAGGAAAAGATTATATTCCAAATAGCAAGGTTAAATGGAAATAAGAAGCCGAAGGCGAAGGCAAAAATGGATACAACGTTAGTTTCTTTATATTATTTTCATGAGAAGCTTCTGGATAGAAATTCACGTGATCGACTGGATTAGATTTAGCCAATCAGCATGCAACTAACAACACGAGAATTTTCTACCTTGTTCTCCAAGAATCGATCAGGCGCTGATTGGATAGGAAATTAGCCAATCAGCGCGCAGCAACGTAGTCATGCTTTAATTCCATCTATGTCCCACTAACATTAAGATACGGTGAAGAAAATTCATATGGAAACAGGAGTTTAAACCGACAATTATTTATTCTACTGCCAGGGTGTTTTGACTGACTGGTTAATAACTAGTTTTTACATCAGTAGTCTTATCTATCTAATGCAGATTCTGAAAGTTGAACGTTATTAAAAAGTTTGTTCAATCAATCAATTAATCAACAGCAACGTAGAACTTTGTACGTACGTAAGTACATCAGTTCAAGTTACCATATCACATTAGCAAAGAAAGACCGAATTGTCAATTAAAATCCCATAGTAATAGAAGTAATAAAAGGATTAGAAGTAATTGGAGAGATGAGGGTTCGATGATATTAATTCAAGAAGTAGAATCTAGTGAAATAAACTTAAAAAGAAAAAGATCAAGGTGATGAAGAACTCTGAATGTTAAGATTTGAGAGAACACAAGGAATGAATGCACTTGCGTCAAAAAAGTTTGTTACTCAAATGTAAATCTATTAGGGTAACTATAGTAGTGTAATTCTTATCTCAATACTGCGGGGGGTTTGTTGGTGTGATTGGACACCGTCATAAATGATCAGTATGTTCATTCTGTTCAACGCCTGATTGATTCTTGGAGAACAAGGTAGAAAATTCTCGTGTTGTTAGCTGCATGCTGATTGGCTAGACCTAATCCAGTCGATCACGTGAAAGAGAGGAAAGGTTTGAACCTGTGATCGAAAACCGAGCACTACGCCATCTTTCTAACCTACTACTTATACTAATTTTCTGACAAATTTTCAACAGCCACTCTCCGAAATGCATTAAAAATGTTTTGGCAATCCTTATTCTGCTTGAAGTTAGAGAATCAATCAGTTACACGGACACAGGATTCTATTCTGATTATTCATTCATCAAGTATCCGAAAGAAATGATTATTGTGAGTCTAATTCTATTGGTCAATTCCTATTGGTCGATATTTAAGGTCGTCCTAAACTATCAAGCTCACATACTTTTTTAAATATTATTTCCTATTGGTTAGTATTCACAGTAGACCTAACTGTATAAATATGCATTGTCTGTAAAGTTTTATGCTCCTCTACTTCTTCTCCCACTGTACAAAACCTCATATTTTCTGGGTACTTGTAGTAGAATACACTTTCTACGCCATAACAAGACTTTTTGATACCGTTAATGAGGGCTTGAGACGCTGATCATGTCACTGGATCAAATGTCTTAGCTCTCATTTACCGACTAACGTGAACTCGTAATAATTTCAAGCATATCAATTGTCAAATTCAAACTCAATACAGAATACTAAGAGGAAAAAAACATAATACAACAGAATTTACCGATGAAGAGACAAGAACATTGGCTGTTCCTTTACGAAACAGATTTAATGCTCTATCACGAGCAGACTGTGCTTTATCACCATGAATAGCGGCAGATTTTACACCATTCGAATAAAGATATTGATCAATTTGATCAACTTCTCTTTTAGTGTTACAGAATACAAGAACTCGATAAACATTATCTCCAAGTGATTCTGAATCTAGAAATAAGATATGTTTAGAAAAAACAGATGACAATTATGATAGAAGATATACAATGTGCATAAAAATTGTTTCTATTGTTACATATATATATTGAACATTACAGATCTGTGACTGTGGCTTACTGGCATGATTTTCAAATGAACGAATTATTATTATTATTATTATTATTAAGAAGTAATGCAATGAAAACACCACTGATATTATTGATATTTGTTTATTACAGATTCCCATTGTGAAAATTAGAACAACACATAATAAAGCGAACAATATTGTTTTCGATTAAATCGTCATCAGGCTGCTTTACTCTCTAATATACATGAATATTTATATGAAAATGTTAAACCAATCAAGGCAATTTGAGTGATAATCACAATGAAATGAACAAAGGTAAAAGTACAAGTGGATAGTAAGAAGACAGGTGTACTGATAGTAGTAAGAAAATTATAAAATATGATAGATAGTGGTCAGATTGTAGATAAATCTAGACCTTTTCGGGTGATCTATCGTATATCTCCATCATTTCCCAACGGAGTTCGATCCCGTCTCTTACACATAGCAGAAGCCATAATAATACGTACATTCAACCCCAATTTATATGTTCAGAAGAAATTCGTGACACCCCTATCTCTTCCGGATATGACGTAACTAACGATTGACATTATATTTCTTATTTTATTTTTACACATTTGCTTATTACGTAATGGTTTTGATGTTTTTATTGATTATTTGAAGTCTATTTATCCACGTTTGACCTACTATTGATAAAACTTTAGTTATCATATTTTATAATTTTCTTACTACTATCAGTACACCTGTCTTCTTACTATCCACTTGTACTTTTGCCTATTATATGTAGTGATGTAAACTCTATTTTATTTCATTGTCATTATGACTCAAACTGCCTTGATTGGTTTAACATTTTCATATAGAAATATTCATGTATATTAGAGTATAGAGCCTGATGACGATCTAATCGAAAACAATATTGTTCGCTTATATGTGTTATTTGTTTATTGTTAATTATGAAAAGATTGTATAAATGAGTGAATAATGCATACACTTGAGGCGAATAACGATAACTAGTACGAAACAAATATGCATATGAATAGGCAATGTGACAATCACAGAAGAATTAGTTTAACTAATATAATGTTTAAAATACTGGCCATATTAATACTCGGACGTCTAGCTAGAGATTGTGAAGAGCAGACAAGAGAAAACTAGGCTAGTTTCAGGCCTGAACGTGGATTCATAGACCAGATATTTACACTACTTCAGGTCCTTGCACATAAACACTCGTTCCAACGCCCCACAATAGTAGTATTTCTTGACCTTAAGACTCCATTCGACTCTGTCGATCGTGAGGTTCTTCGGCAGTGTCTATCATTAAAAGGTGTACCAAAGAAGTACATTAACCTTATACAAGCTCTCTACTCGAACACTACTGGTCGAGTGAGAGCTTATGGTAAAATATCATCGGAATTGATTACTTCAAGTGATGTCCACTTTCTCCATTCTTGTTTCATTTTGTCGTAGACATGCTTTTAGAGTCAACTTCATCATCGTCTGACTTTTCAGGGGTGGACCTTCTACCAGGGAACTAGCTTGTTCAATCACAGTATGCCGATGATATAGTTCCACATGGCGAAGACGCTAACAAAATGCAGTGTCTCCTGACTACCCTGAGCAACTATGCAAGCATGTTCGGCATGTGGTTCCCCCCCCCAACGACATGCAAGATGTTGTTTCAGGATTGGTTTGTATGGGCACCTGAACTAGTAATAGGGAGTGAAGCAGTGGAGCGTGTTGACCGCTTCACTTATCTCGGGAGTCATCAATGCCGATGGCTTGGTGATCGACGATATCTCAGCTCAGGAAGTTCGATTGGCTTTTGCCAACTTGCATCACTTATGACGTAGGAGTGATATCCGTTAGCTAACCAAAGGACGGGTGTACTGCGCAGCAGTTCACTCTGTCCTACTTTATATGGATGCGAAACATGGCCAGTCAGGGTAGAAGACACTCGTAGGTTACTTGTATTCGATTACAGATATCCGCGAAGCACTGCTCGTAAATTCTGGGACAGCCGAGTAAATAATGCTATAGTTAGGAAACAAGTACTAGGTAGGGACGGCAGATCAATAGATGGACTAATGAAACTTCGTCAGTTAAGGTGGTTGGGAAATATGTTGAGTATGCCTAACCACCGACTTCCTCGCCGAGCTATGATTTGCGACGTAAGAATAGGTTGGAAGAAAGCTAGATGCGGCCAAACCAAAAACATGGCGTAAAGCCAGGAAGTCGCTGACACGTAGACTGAGTCGTGTTGGTAGATGCAGACTAATTAGTTGGGGTCTGCAAGACGATAGTAACCGATGGTTAGAGACTTTGAACGATATGGCTCAAAATCGTCTGCAGTGGCTCAAGTGTATACACTCTTTCTGTTCTATGAAATCCATAATCTTCTGAATTCCCCATCATCTCTCTATCTTTGACTTCCTAAATTTATCTCACTGAATCATACTTCTTGGAAAATATCTTCGAACCCTAATCTCTTCGATTACTTCTAATACTTTTACTATCTCTACCACTATAGGATTTGAATTGACAATTGCATCTCTGTGCTAATGTGGTAAAACAACTTGAATTGATGTACTTACTTACGAAGTTCTACGTTGTAATTAACTGACTGATGATGATAATAATAGTAATCATTGCATAGAATACTACATATTTATGTACAGTATATAATTCTAAGCATTGTTTCCAAGCAATATCTTTTTAATAATTTGTCACCTATCTCAAGTATATGTTCTGTGTGAATAAAATGGATTTAACAAAGGGGAAAATTTTTTTATTCAATACTAATTGACTGAAAATTACTGCATTCCATACGATACATAATTCATAAGATGTGTAGAATAGCAAACATTTTTAACTGGGCTACTACAACACTAGAGGCAAGTTAGCTGACGTAATAATAAGAATCAATAGTGTATAATGTACGTGAAAGTCTACTTTATTTACATGTATTAAAAAGAAAGAGAAATTTAGATCAAATTACTAAATAGAAAAAAAATTTAGAATCAGTCAATCGACAGCCATACCACATTAGCACAGAGATACAATTGTTGATTCGAATGCCATAGAAGTACAGGTAGTAAAAGTATTAGCAGTAATCGAAGACATTAGGTTTCCAAGATATTATTCAAGAAATATAACTTAATGAAATGAACTTAAAAAGAGAAACGTGAAGGTGATGAGGAATTCAGACGATTAGGATTTGAGAGAAAACAAAGAATAAATGCATCTGTGCCATTGCAAACGATTTTGAGCCATGTCGTACAAGGTCTCTAACCATCGATTACTATCATCATCTCGCGGACCCCAACCAGGTAGTCGACAATTACCGACATGGCTAAGTCCACTCGTCAATGACTTCATGGATTTATGCCATGTTTTGTGGTCTAGCCTCAGCTGTGAACAGAAGAATATTCTTGAACTCATTTTTTTTCGGATAACACACATAGTGAAGTTTCATAAAACCTGAAAGATGCTAGCTACTTAAGTCTATTGTCAATTAAAAATCAGTCAGTCAGTCAGATGCAATGGAGAACTTCGTACACAAGTACATCAGTTCATGTCGCCATACCACATCAGCACAGAGATGTAATTGTCAATTTAAATCCAATAATAGAAGAGGTAGTAAGGGTATTAGAAGTAATCGGAGAGGTTAGGATTAGAAGATATTATTCACGAAGTATGATTCAATGAGATAAGTTTAGAAAGTCAAAAGTAGAGGGGTTGAAGAATTTAGAAGATTAGGATTTGAGAGAAAACAGAGAATAAATGGACCGGCGCCATTGCAAACGGTTTTCAGCCATGTCATTTAAGGTCTCTAACCATCGATTATTATCATCTCGCGCACCCCGACCACGTAGTCGATAATGACCGACATGGCTAAGTACACTCGTCAATGACTTCATGGATTCCTGTCATGTTTTGGTTTGGCCGCCCCTAACTTTCTTCCAACCTATTCCTACACTACAAAACAAAGTTCGACGAGGTCGTCGGTGGTTGGGCATACGCAACACATGTCCCAACCAACTGAACTGATGAAGTTTCATTACTTCATCTATCGATCTGCCATTCTTACCTAGCACCCGATTCCTAATAACAGCGTTGCTCACTCAGATGTCCCACCACTCACTCGGGTGTCCCACGCAATTAAAAAAAGAAAAATCAAACCATACTGAATGGAAAACAAAAAAAACAATGAAACATCAGGTGATTTTTTTTACTTGAAGATTTCATTGATTGAATCAACTGTAAAAGATGCTTAGGTATGGCAGATTTTGGATCACCATCAACCAATTGAAATTGTTGATTAATTTCTTTAGGAATTATACGTGTCAATTGTTCAAATTTCTCTTTTTTCTGATTATGCAGCATTGTTTGACTGCCCCATGTAGGAACTATAGTAGTGCTAGTATTGGATTCTTCACTATTACTACTATTACTACTGAGTGTAAGTGAAATACACTGAGAACCACGTAGAAAATCACCAGCTAATAGTGTAACTTCACGTGGAAACGTTGCACTGAATAAAACAGTTTGTCGACTATTCCCTTTGGAAGGAGGCATTTTAAATCTTGGCGACTCGATAATTTGACGTATTTGTTTCTCGAAACCCATATCCAACATACGATCTGCTTCATCGAGTATTAAAGATCTAAAGAAAATGGGTTGTTTTGTTTGCAATGAAAATATCATGATTAACACGTGGATGATGGCTTTTTAAGTTAAAATTTATAAATAAGAATACGATATAATGAGATAATGCCATAAACAATAAAAATAGGTACAAGGGTAAGAGGATGGGTAGCTTGAATGATTCGTGAAATCAATCAGTCAATTACAACGTAGAACTTCGTACGTACGTACGCACGTACATCAGTTCAAGTTGCCTTACCACATTAACACAGAGACACAATGGTCAATTCAAATCCCATAGTAGTAGAGGTAGCAAAAGTATTAGCAACAATCAAAAAGATTAATGATCGAATATATCATCAGTGATGTATACACCAGTGAAATCAGTTAGAAAAAGAGAAAGCAACGGTCATGAAGAAGTCTTGAAGATTAGGGATTTCAGAGAACACAAAGAATGGATTCACTTGCGCCATTGTAAATGGTTTTAAGCCATGTCATTCAAGATCTCTAACCATCGGTTACTATTGTCTCACAGAACCCAGCCACCTAGTCTACATCTACCAACATTGTTCAATTGACTTATACCCGTTTTCTAACCCACGCATTACTTACTCGATTTTCCCACGATATACGAGCAATGCTTCGGAGACACACATGATCGAAGATAAGCAATCTACGAATGTCCTCTACTCTCACCGGCCATGTTTCGCATCCGTATAGTGGGACGGAGCGAACTGCTGCACAGGACACTCGTCTTTTGGTTAACAAACGGATATCTCGCCTACGCCATAAGTGACGCAGGTTGGCAAAAGCCAATCGAGCCTTCTGTATCCGTGCTGAGATTTCGTCAGTCACCAGGCCATCAGCACTGATGAGACTCCCCAGATAAGTGAAGCGGTCAACATGCTCAACATGTTGCATTTCGAGTGGGAAAACCGCATCCCGAACATGCTTGCATTGTTGCTTAGGGTAGTCAGGAGACGCTGCATTTTATCAGCATCTTCACCAAGTAGAACTATATCATCGGCATACTGTTTGAGTTGAAAATTAATAATTACTATTCCTATGTTCAATTCGAACGTTTGTTTTAATGATTAACAGTAAAATATCTTAACCATTACACCAACACTACAAACAGAACTATAGTATGTGAAACGTTAGCAAAACGTGCCTAGTTTCGTTACTGCGGTATAATGACATCTTTTTTTAAAAAAAACGCTGCCTATTTTTTGAAACCTGATAACGAAAAAAAATGCTATGAAATTAAAAAAAATACACTATAATGTTTATGAGATATTTGGTGACGCATTTCTTGTTTAAACCTTTTTTTCTTTTTAAAGAATCTACCAACCTATCGAGTTATAGGTGATCAATACCCAATATGTGACAACGTCAATCGATCAATCGCAACGTACGTAGAACTTCGTACGTACGTACATCAGTTCATGTTGCCATACTACATTAGCACAGAGATGTAATTGTCAATTCAAATACCATAGTAGTAGAGGTAGTAAAGGTATTAGCAGTAGTCGGGAAGGTTAGGATTAGAAGATATTATTCAAGAAGTAGAATCTAGTGAAATAGACTTAAAAAGATAAAGTGATGAAGTGGACTTAGCCATGTCGGTAATTGTCGACTACCTGGTTGGGGTCCACGAGATGATAATAATCGATGGCTAGAGACCTTGAATCACATGGCTCAAAATTGTTCGCAATAGCGCCGATGCATTTATTCTTTGTGTTCTCTCAAATCCTAATCTTCTGAATTCTTCAACCCATCTAGTTTCGACTCTCTAAACTTTTCTCACTGAATCATACTTCTTGAATAATATCTTCTCATCCTGACCTCTCCGATTACTTCTAATACCCTTACTACCTCTTCTACTATTGGATTTGAATTGACGATTACATCTCTGTGCTGATGTGGTATGGCGACATGAACTGATGTACTTGTGTACGAAGTTCTACGTTGCAACTGACTGATTGACTGACTGACTGATGAAGAATTAAAAAGTTTAGGATTTGAGAGAACACAAAAGGAGCTAAATATATAGCTCCCTTTTTTAAAAAAAGTGAACTCCTTTGTAAACTACATTTAATACATATGAAAATCAACAAGACAGCATAAAATTTTATACATAACACCAATTTAAGAATACGTGTTTGGATAGTTAGACAAATATATCCGCATTTAAAAGTAGTCATCTTTTGTTATATAGTTAGAAACTTTTTTTAAACCAACAATTACATTTACACATTGAAATCATCAATCAATCATTGTTAGACCATAAACCCTGTCGAGTGTAGGCAGTAACTACCGAAGATAATTGTGTGTGAGTGTTAGGATATTCACCAAATATTCTAAGAGTACCATTTTTAGAAGGATAATCCTATTGATCGGTTTCTATTGGTCAAAATTATGGTCGTTTTAACTGTCAAAGTCAAATACTTCAATGTTGTCTCTTATTGGTCATCCGGATTGTCAATGTCATTTCAAATGTTCTTTCCTATTGGTCGTCCTAAACTGTCAATGTCACAGATTTTGATGCTCTTTCCTATTCGACCTAAATGTATAAATACGCACTACCTGTAAGACTTCATGATTCCGTTCCTTCCTGCCTTCCTTTCTTCTGTACTCAACCCAATAAACAAGTCCATCCAACGGTGTTGTGTTCTGATATATTTGGGAGATTTGGGAATAGTATTTGGGTCGTATTGGAATATTTGAATTCGGACGTCGGTAGGATTTGAATAGCTACGTAGCAGCATCATAACAGTGAGGTTGCTCAAAATCTCTATATTGATCAGAGTTAGACATTAACATCGTTGGATGTCGGCCAGCATGGTGGTCCAGAGGTTAGGTGTTCGCTCGCAAAACCGAAGGTCCTGGGTTCGAATCCTGTGAGGTGCAGGAGTCGTGGGTGCGCACTGCCACTGATGAGTCCCATACCAGGACGAAACGGCCATCCAGTGCTTGCAGGTTTCTAATGGTGGTCTAACAATGATTGATGGATGATTTCAATGTGCAAAAAACACTCATCTCCATAACTCTAATTGAAACAATAATTACATTGATGAGATCTCTTAATTAGTCACAAACATGCTTCTAAATAGCACAGCTTATTTACATGTTAAAAACTTGCGATATCTTCAAGAATAAGAAAACAATTAATGGAAATCTTTCGAAATAATCAACGTATTAACAATACAAGGAATTTTATTGAAATCATGAATCGATCCATGTATGTTAGATCACACATCATTAGAAATCTAAAACCAATATGATTCAACTGTGTTCTAACACACATTGATCAATTTCATGATCTCAAGTGAAATTGAACAACTCAAACATGAAATCACACAATAAATTACCTGCAGAATTGTAAAGAGATAACATCACGCTGTAAGAAATCCAAAAGTCGCCCAGGTGTAGCAACTATCATATGACATCCTTTTGTTAATTCATACATTTGTCGTTCTGGTCGTTCACCGCCATATACACCGACTGGTCGAACAAAAGTTTGATTACTCAACTAGAATTATATTTATATATATAATTGAAAAATTATTTTTTTACTTTAAGTAATTCTGAAAGAATTTGTTGAACTAGTTCACGAGTTGGTGCCATAATTAATGATGAAGGGTACTGACGTGATCCACGAGAGTTGAGCTAAAATTTTGAATGAAAAATAGAAGAAATGTGTTCAGCATTTTAATACCATGATAAAAAAAGTAATCAAAAATATTATGCAGCGTCCCAAAAGAAGCCCTTACTTGGAACCGTCTAGGTAAAAGGAAAAGAGGAAGGCCAGGAAACAAATTACGCCGAGAAACAGAGAAAGACATGAGAATGGACAAAAATTGGATAGGAAAGCCCAGGACAGAGTAGGTTGGAGAGTACTGGTCGGCGGCCTATGCTCCATTGGGGGTGACAAGAGTAAGTAAAAATAAGTACAACAAAGTACGACACTTTTCAAATGATGAAACACAAACTTTAAAATGAATTCATGTGGAACGGTAAAAGCAGTCCGTGGATATTACATTTGAAACCAACTTAGATTTTTCACGAAAATAATTATAACTTAAACCCTAGTGAGTGAATATACTTGGTCAGTGCGATGCACGAAACTTGAGATTGGATATAATAATAGATTCTTTGAGATAAACCAGAGAAACAGCGCCACAGAGTACGATGAACACATAGAATGCAACTAGACGATTCAGAAACCGTAGATGGTTTAGCTCTCCTATCGTATATACAACAGCAAATGCAGATGAAGTTAGTCAGTGTAGAAGCAACCTCTATGCTAGTCAGTCTCAACAATAACAACGCGTAGGTGCATTGTATTCTAAAGAGAGGTTAACCATATTATGTGGGCTGTATTATGTTCGTTGTCGGGCTCACCACTTTGTCGTGGAGGTGACATTCGAGTATGCTATTATATAAATCTCCGCTTCAGTTTCCGTATACCATTCTTTAGCAAACCCTGTTTGTGCGACGACGGTAATTAGAAGTCAAATACAAGTTTGGTTGGATGAGTTTATCTCAAGCAATCGTTAATGCAGACAAAGATAGAAAAAAATATAGCTTGAAAGCAAAACAAAGCGAAGTGGATAAGGAGAGCGAATCAACTCCACGACAAAGTGATGAGCCCATTGACGAACATAACGCAACCCACATAAATTGGTGAGCCTCGTCAAATTTAATGCAACGACATAAAAATGGTGTATGCCAAAGTTGAACTTAACGGAACCTGCAGAACTACGTCGACAAAGCAACTCTCAAAATCAATGCATTCGATGAATGAATCGATGCACCCGATTCAACAAACAATGCAGACATCTTGATCTTGAATCTGACGTACGCAACGAAGCCAGTTCAGTGATTATATATGCAAACACGAATATTGTATTATGTTAGCGTTATTTTGTTTATATATCAACTCGTCGCATGAATCTAATTTGCGAATTATCACATTTTATCATTATCGTATTAATGTGGGAGAATTATTATCCTTATACTACCCCTAACTCAAGTCTCATATGGTCGAAAAATGAAAATTTCGGAAACGCGAAAAAATCATTGCCCAACATGAGACAAAGGGTAGTAGAAGTGTTTGGGCCTATTTGCATTAAGCTGGGCTGCCTCTTCTACTATCCTGCGCCATATATGTGTACAGCATATACTATACTGCTATATAGAGCTGAAGGTCTCCTATGGGACTAGAGGTTCGCAGTGTATATTGAGGATGGCTTGGCTTTGCTTTGGTAAGCATTGTTAACAGTCCATATACAAAATTGGTTAACAGGGTGACCGATTTCATTGATATAGGTGGTTGTTTTGCGACATTTCCGAGAGCCATTGTCATCGGGGTGCTGTATTACATATCACCATTGCTAATAATAATGAGTTTGACAGTCATGTAAGCGGGATGGATCGTAAATGGCCTGTTCATGCGGTGCATGTTGATTGACGCGATCATTGATCGGAAATATATATACCATTGTGTGTATATGAAACGGTGTGAATGGTCCACCAGGGTACAGGTACCTGTGTGGTTGCACCACAGGATTTAGCCGAACTGTTCATGTAGAAATGGTAAAACATGTCCAGTCTCTATGGTTCTCCTGAAAACCAATGTAAAATTGCCCTAGACAATACAGGGTAAATTTATATAAATATAAAATTGTGAATTCATACTGAGCTTAAATTATGATGACGATGGAATTTTATTAATCACTACTCATGGAATCATAACAATACGAATATGGTATTTACGTCATGATATTCAAAACTCAATGAATTATTTTCCTGCTTAAAGTCAGTTTGTTTCATTTTTTTTCCGTATCTCACGGTTGTATTCTGAACCTTTTATCACTACAATTACCCTATAAGAATAATTATCTGGTATCATTTCTGTGGCTATATGATTATCGCATGAAAAAGATATTTCTGATGAACTTCTCAGCTGTTCGTAACCCGAACATCTTGCAACCTGCTAAGTAAGTTGGTGGTATGATGACACGTGCATGCAAACGAACTATCAGTCTAAGCAGTCGAAGGAACCTCCTGCACGCTGATAATAGCATGTTCAACTACTCCAACGCTGACAGCGGTTCGCCATGCTATCATAGATATAAGTTTGAGGTCATACACTCATTGGTAATAACTTTTGTTCTCGATATCCAATGAACGTTTTATTCATTGCATTAGTATGTAGCGATCATTTTTCTCTATTTTTTCGGTGATAATCTCGACTTAACTTTCTTAACATATCTGCAGCCGCATGATCAATCGATCAGCCTTGCCATAATGTTCATACATTTATCGAATTCCGTATTCATTCACGCATATATGACTGCATGGTACATTCAATGCTCTGAAACATTGCACGAGTTTAGCAATTATATTCGTTCCTGTTGAACTGTAAATCAGAACATAGAGTTTATAGCTAGTCTCTCGAAAAAACACTTACGTTTATCGCATTCAGATCAGTTTCATTTGTCCGACATACATTCGTACGTATATGTTCACAGACCAATTTTCGTTATATTTTAGCCAACTTTTCGTCAGCACTACTACGTACTTGAAAGATTACACAAAACTGAAAAAAAGCTATCACCTCCCACTCCATATTCTATATAATCACATGAACAGACGCCCACGTGTGTCTTACTAAGGTTGAGCAAATGTAAGTCGCCTTCACGCTTAAAATTTCCTCATGTGTCTGTGGTTTGGTGGTCGATTTGTGGTGCGTTAAATAAAAGTATTCAATATTCCGTATTCCTCTTTTGATTTATAAACCGTGAGGCGTTATTATTTAATAACGATTGTCTGGATGAGCAGCGTACGAAGTCTAAGAGAACATATCGAATACCGACCGCTAAGAAATTAGTGAGGCGCCGGTCACCACACCTATTTTCATCTTGAACGACCAGACAAGATCACAGGTGCGCATAATACATGAATAAGTGACTTTTCAATCTTGTGATAATATCACATTAACAACCATTTACAAACGACCCAATTCTTAAGTGATTATTGAGACTGTCAAAAAATTAATTTAAAAAAAACACGTACGAAATTAATGAGATTGTGCTTTTGAAATACCATTGACTTTATTTCTCTAAGTACCTTGCTTCTAAGATTCCAGGGATCACTTGTAGATTAGCATTAGCTTGAACATGATAAACTTAGTAGTAGGGATTACATTTCCCAAAAGTCAATGTACTATGAGAATGGAGAAATGCAAAACCTGTTCAGAAAGTTTCAAACTGATATATGGTTGCAAAAAAGTGCATTGCTGACTAACAAAATTGTGATTTCCTGATAGTTATGTACATGAAACAGCTTAATGAAATATGAAACCAAAACATGGCACAAATCTATGAAGTCACTGACAAATGGATTTGTGCCATGTTGGTATATGTCGACCACCTGGTGTGGGCCCGTGAGATAATAGTAATCGATGGTTAGAGACCCTGAATGATATGGTTCAAAACCGTTTGCAATGGCGCAGGTGCATTCATTCTTTGTGTTCTCTCAAATCCTAACCTTCAGAGTTCCTCATCACCTTTATCTTTTTCTTTTCAAGTTTATTTCACTAGATTCTACTTCTTGAATAATATCGTCGAACCCTAATCTCTTCGATTACTGCTAATACTTTTACTACCTCTGCTTCTATAGGATTCGAATTGACAATTGCATCTCTATGCTTTTATTTCATTTATTTATTTAATACCGTATGGCAACTTGAACTGATGTACGTACGTACGAAGTTCTACATTGCTGTTGATTGATTGATTGATTTATTGATTGATCGAATTGATGATACTAGACACTTTTAATTACGTTAAGTAAAACAATTTAAAATTGAACATTCTACTTACTAAAGTTTGCATTGCTTCAAGTGGATAAACTCTAAGTAGACGATTGATTGATGGAATGAGATAAGCTAACGTCTTACCCGAACCAGTTTGTGCAGCTGCCATTAAATCAAATTTACCAGTGACACGTTCATAAAAAGGATAATTCGTTGAATTATCATCTGTACTTTGATCGGATTCATTCATTTTAACATCCGTTTTCTCATATTCATCAATTGACATAATACCAATAGCATGTTTTTGAACGGGTGTTAGCTCAAATAACCCCATAGCTTTGAGATTATCCGATAGTTTTTGATCGATTTTCGGAATTTCATCAATCTGAAAACGGTAAAAGTGAAATCAGGTTATGTTAATGAGACATGGATAGAATTAAAGCATGATTACGTTGCTGTGCGCTGATCGGCTAATTTCCTACCCAATCAGCGCCTAATTGATTCTTGGAGAACAAGGTAGAAAATTCTCGTGTTGCTAGCTGCATGCTGATTGGCTAAATCTAATCCAGTCGATCACGTGAATTACTATCCAGAAGCTTCTCATGAAAATACTATAAAGAATCTAACGTTGTATCTATTTTGCCTTCGCCTTCGTATTTCCATTTAACTTTGCTATTTGGAATATAATCTTTTCCTGTTCCACCGTGTTTTTGATTCTTTGGAACTTGTCCAGTGTATTGTGGTCAGAGAATACTAAGCAATAGGAATTAGCTGGGAATTATTTAAGCAAGCGTTACAACAGGTTAGAACAAATAAAAACAACAACCCTGAATTAGATCTTTTTTTGAGGTGGGAAAACGCTAAACAAACTTTAAGATATCATTTCAAACGTCAGGAAGTGTAATGAATGGGGTGACGCTTTTTTTACAGTTAACTGACTTTAGAAAGTGATACATACTGGGAGTATCGGGATTACTTCACATGAAAGTCTTATCATATGTTTTTATGACAAAAGACTAGTAAAACTATACATGTTAGTCAAAGAAAAACGAAGTCTCAGACCTGCGAAATTGATGTATTAATTATCATGCGATTCCGATGAATTTCGCAACGCAGACATACACATGCCTACACTAAACCATAATCATATTCTATGGCCTGGAAGTGACATTTGACTATAAACTATTGCTTGTATTCAGTGGAACAACTAAGTGAACAACATTGAGGTTTGATGTAAGACACTTGGTAAATAAAGGGAAATGGTTGGTAAGAGCGTAAAAACCCATCGTCTTAAGGTCAGTGACCACCTTTCTCAATAAACAATGTTACCTAGCGTTGGGTTGGAATACAGCTAGGGGAGTAAAACAAGACGTAGTATCAGTCCATAGACTTAGTGATGACTGGTCTGAATAGCAGTCGATACCTACATACTAACTGGATAGTGTCCATATGATCACGGTGATCAATTGTTGTAAGTCTTATGCAGTGACTCAGAATCCGTTGCACTGAAGCAGGCATATTTATTATTCATTTAACCCCTAGATTAAAATGTATTATTTCATGCTTTTTATTACTTGTGAATTATATCTCACAAACTAAGTATCTTTACTACTATTGACACTACTAATTCGACATCGTTGATACTAACGTAGTGGCGACAGTGTCAGTTGAAGCTGTATCTTTGTGCCAGGTTTTAATTGGATTATGATTGCTGGAGACAGAATGAATAAGGAGAAAACAAAATTTAAAAGAACATACTTTATTATTCATTTGATTCACATCAACCAATCAATCAATCAATTACAATGTAGAACTCCATACATATGTACGTACATAAGTTTCGGTTGCCATAAAATTTGAAACAACCTGGCATTAAAACAGTGTGCGCCAAAAGGTACAGACAGAGTAAGACTGAAAATTTTGCAACCTTCCTACCAGAAATTATTGTTTATATTTTTATTGTAACATTATTGAATATACTTGAATGACTGTCTCATTATATTCACTTAGTTATAAGCTTTTGTTTGGAGCACAAACCATTGTTGTATGTATCTTTCACAAGTTACCATTAACTAATTACAGACCTATAGTTTGTATTTATGCCTACGTTGATGTATAGTCAATAATCTACTTTTTTCAGTCATAACATTGAATCTGCTTACTGGATTGTGGATTTTGTTCTAGCTCTTTGGCAAACAAACACAATTTTGACTCCCTTTTTCAGCTTCCTAATATTCTACTCATCCTGTTCCTTTCAATGTTGTGAAGGGTCGGATTGTAAACTGATGAGCTTTTGTGCAAGTCTTAGTTGATGTATTTGTTAATCTACAAGAAGTTGCTTTTTCCTATGGAAGAATCTAGAAATACTTCACAATGTAGCAATCACCTGCTTCATGTTGATTTGTCTGTAGACGAAAAAGTTGGTTTTTTATTGATGCAAAATATGAAAAAAAAATTAGTGAGTGTAGAAACAAAACATTCAAACTGTAAAACAATCGAAGTACAAAGAAATGGTTATGGTATTTAAACGGTGAACTAACGTTTTAAATTATTTGAAACTTACATTATGGGCAATTTCATAAGTAAAATTCTCTGTCACAGGAAAACCAGATAGGGAAGCATGAGAAGCATATGATAAGTATTCTTTTTCATCCACCGTGTGTTCTCTTTTGTTAGCACCAAATAAAGATGTTTTTAATTCTGTATTTTCCGGTCGACGTTTCATCCAAATATGTGGCGGAACATAGCCTGGTAGCTTGCTTACATTCGTGTTTGTTGATTTTTCATCAAAATGATAACTTCTTAAAATTGTAATGAAGGTAGGACGTAACGAACGTAAATGAGTAAGTTTACACTGACTCATGATGATTTTATTCATTTCTTTGACAGCAAAACAGTGCTATTTGTCGGTGGACTTTAACTAGAATATCCAGAAACATGTAGTTAAGAAAATAAAAAGCAAGTTTTTACAAATAAATCTAGTTACTGTCAAATCTATTTATTCATCGTTTTAAAAAATAATTGTATTCTGTAGTAACTCTAAAAGCTATTCTAACAAATTTGATGACAATACCTGACACACTCGTCGTTAACGGGTAAAATTCAACTTGCGTTAACAGAAAAAAATCTATGCACGTAACTTATTATTCATGTAACAGAATATTTGCAGTCAGTCAGTCAGTTGCAACGTAGAACTTCGTACGTATTTACATAAGTTCATGTTGCCGTACCACATTAGCACAGAGACGCAAATGTCGAATCAAATCCCATAGTGATAGAGATAGTGGAAGTATTAGTGGTAATGAAGAAGACTAGGGTTTGAAGATATTATTCAAGAAGTATAATTCAGTGAGATAAGGTCAGAAAGACAGAGGTACAGGAGCTGACGAATCCAGAAGATTAGGATTTGAGAGAGCACAACGAATGGATGCACTTGCGCCATTGCAAACGATTTTGAGCCATGTCGTTCAAGGCCTCTAACTATTGGTGACTTTCGTCTCGTGGACCCCAACCAGGTAGTCTACATCTACCAACAAGACTCAGTCCACTTGTCAATGACTTCGTGGATTTCTGCCATGTTTTGTTCTTGCCGCCCCGAATATTTGCATTAAGGGCTTTGCGCTATACATTACAATCAAAACAGATATTCAAGGCAACTACAATACGTGATTTCAACAATTTAGGATATAACAATCAAGTTTCCATAATATAAGACAGTCCCTAAATTCTACCTGAGATCCCAATCAATCTAAGTGCTAAAACTGGATCACCATCGTTGAAAATCTCAACGGTTAACCTATCAGACTCCGCCGCTCTCTCCCTGTTGCCTTAGAATACTTAGAGCATTCGCAAAGTCACTGACAGTCGGAGGATTTACATCGACTTGCCATTCAGAATAACTGGACATCGGGAGTAGTCGAAGTGTGGCTGAAGCAGTTGAGCGAGTTGACGGCTTTACTTATCTGCGGAGTCTCATTAGTGCTGATGGCCCGGTGTGTGACGAAATCTCAGCGCGGATACAGAAGGCTCGATTGGCTTTCGCCAACTTGCTTCACTCATTCCATTCTTGCTTGCTTTTAGATACGACACTTCATCATCATCATCGCCTCGAAATGCAAAATGTTGCTTCAGGATTGTCTTGCACCAGTGTCTGAACTAGTGATAGGAAGTCAAGTAGTTGGGCATGTTGTGACCGCTTCACTTATCTGCGGAGCCTCATCAGTGCTGATGGCCCGGTGTGTGACGAAATCTCAGTGCGGATACAGAAGGCTCGATTGGCTTTTGCCAACTTGCTTCACTCATGGCGTAGATGAGATATCTGTCTACTAACCAAAGAACAAGTATACCGCGCACCAGTTCGCTCCGTCCCACTTTATGGCTGTGAAACATGGCCAGTGAGAGTAGAAGATATTCGTAGGTTACTGGTTTACGATCATCGGTGTCTCTGGGACGATTGAGTAAACAATGCGTGGGTTATGAAACTGGTACTAAATAAGGATGACAAGTCAATAGATGAAGTAGTGAATTTTCATTAGTTGAGGTGGTTGGGACATGTGTTACGTATGTCTAACCACCGACTGCCTCGTCGAGTGATGTTTTCTGGTATAGAGGTGGGCTGTGAGAAAGCTAGGGGCGGCCAGACCAAAATATGGTACAAATTCATGGAATCACTGTCAACTGTTGGTAGATGTAGACTACCAACTTGATTTCCACGATGCAATAGTGGCCGATGGTTAGAGACTTTGAATGACATGGCTCGAAATTGTTTTCATTTGGGCAGGTGCACCCATCCTTTGCGTTACGTTAAATCCTAATCTTCTGAATTCCTATTCATCTTAATCTTTCTAAATTTATTTTACCGAATTATACTCCTTGAATAATATCTTCGAACCCTCATCTCCATTGCGCTAATACGTCTAATACCTCTATTAATATGGGATCTGAAATGACAGTTGTGTCTCTGTGTACTAATGTGATATGGCTACTTGAACTGATGTACGTACGTACGAAGTTCTACGTTATAACCGATCAAAATGTGGATGACGGCAAGCTGAACTGATCCCTAAAGTGTTCTACCCATCGATCCAATCTCCTGGATTCAGTATGAATAACAGCCCCCTTGTTTTCCGAAATGGTTTCACTAACAGTGGGATTTCTAATACCTGTTTCCTTTCTATTATTTAACTAAGTTGAGTGATTTATAGTTATTCATATACGCCAGTAAATTACCAGAAACGTTATCAGTATATGTAACGACCGAATCAAACGTTTGGAAGTGTAATTCTGTTATCATGAAGCACAAAGTTTTCTCAGTATAGCTATCATTTTACAAATGTAATCCAAAAGGTGTCTTGCTGGATAGAAACTACATTTTATGAGCATAGGTACAATGACAGGAAGTCAATTAGATGATGGGTTAGCGTCTAGACTTAAAGTACGTTATGTGCTGAGTGTGTGAGGAGCAATATTAACGGAAATTTAGATACGAAAAAGCAAAAGTGAAAGGACGACCTTATAAGCACATATGATGGTCAGAATGGTTGTAATGGACTTACATCTATTGTTGGAAGCAGTTGACAACAACTGGAAACAACACAAACGCAGGAATAAATCAACCCGCGAAGAGGAACCCAGAGTCGATAACGCACGATTTCAAATGCGCGACACGATGTTAGCTCAAAACCCCCTCTAACAATATCCAATATCCAATATCTTTTACACGAGCCAGAATAGACCACTTGATTTATTTGCACTCGACTCATGTTCTATCAGTACGGTTCCAGGTGTTTGGTTCTGTCTAATCAATGGGAGTCTATCCACTCGAATGTTTAATTATAGTCAGTTGGCTGTTGGTTGTGAGTTTGTATGTCCCGTGATTTGAATGAATACGATTGTTTTAGGGCTGTAGGGTTTCTGGGTACAAGAAGCTATCACAGTTACCAGGCCGGATATCAGTTGTTTGTAGTGTGGGGAATTACAAGGCGAAAATTCCATTGGTAATGAGAAGATTTCAGAACTAAGTCTATAAATGGGGAAATAAGTTTAACTTTTAGTAAAGTTTGAGCCGGAGGATAAAGCGTTAGAGAGGGAATGGAAGAAGAGATAATGGGCGAGATAGATCAGGTTAGTGATCTGAGGCAATAGTAATAACAATAACCAGCAATTCTGAAGTATTACCTGAATGTTTGTTTCTGAATTGAAGATGACCAAGAATATTTAGGAAGCTACAAGTCTTTAGAGCGTCATAATTGAGATGCCTATAACCCACTGAGTAAATACCAAGAGATTAAAAATACTCTTTGTGAGATTTAAGTTTTAGCCCTCAAACTGATTCCATGGCAAGCCTTCGAATATGTTCTAATGTGTTCTTATCCTTTTGGAGTGATGGAAGAAGTGAGTTATTTCCATCCTCCAAATGGGACTAAAAAAAGCTGCATGGAATTAGATGAAGTTTTCTGCTGTCAAGCGGGGCAAAAATGAGTTTAAACCTACTCAGCACTTCAGATTATTGGATACCGAAAGTACTAGATGTTTTCACTTTTGGGCACCTTTAGAGAGGAGTTATCAAAGCTGTAAGCTTAGTATGCAACGTCTGAGATGGATTACTTTACATTACGAAGTGATTCCGTTATTATTCGCCAAATTTTGAAGTTGAATCAAGTACTCTTGAAGAGCCAGGTTGTCGTCGTGGTTTCGAAATACCTTCCAAATTCATAGGCGTTTAGCACCGTCTCAGACGATACCTGCTTAACAAGGCCGTTTGCATAGACTGGAAACAGAAAGTATCCTTGTACGGAACATTTAGGGACTTCATCAAAATACTTTTTAGCCTGAGATAAGGTAAAATCTAGTCTGACCTCGAAAGTAAATCATTTAGACGTGAAACAAACCAGTCTTTCTTTGGTAGCGTGACATCTAACAGCTTGAGCATATTGATGAAACATGAATGATTAATCTGATCAAACGCTTTTCAGAATTTAAGGTACATTAAATCCACCTTTCCCTTGCGACCTAAGACGGTCATCCACTTGTCCACAGTAGTTTGCAGTTTGATAATATTTGATTTCAATTTAAGTTCCAAATATCAAAACTACGTCTGCTTGAACAGATAGACTATTAGTCACTTGAGATCTGATGGCATTACATTTGTAAGGTCACAGATGTTTTCAGAATCCACCTTAACTCCATGACATTCATGATTTTGATATACAAAATATCTTGATGCTTGCTGTGTATAACTAGTTCCTGATGCCCTTCGATGACATGATAACTAAGCCTGGAGACCATCAACCGTCCCAGACGGTCTTAAGCCCTGATAAAGGAGGTGGATGGGTATGTGGTTACAGATCCCATACCATAGAAAACCAACTCTCCTAAAAAAGGGCCAACCAAAAATATTCAAACCACCAACTTTCTGCCCTGAGAGTTAGAACGATTGGATTCAAGAGAGATACCGTTGTACTCCAGACATGAAGAAATTACTTCACACTCGAGTTGATCTGATGCTATAAGAAGAAGCACAAAACGCACTTACAGGATTCGAATCTCATGGAACCAGGATCATCGAAGCCTCGTTCAAAAAAATAAAGAGGGAATCACAATGAAGGTAATCCATTGCAAAGCTGCCACCAGCGATAATAGTAAAGATGATGAAGATCAATTTGATGGGGGGCTGCAATCAATCGTCGAGAAAGGCTCAACAAAATGATTTGACCATTCTGATGGAAGACATTAACGCCAAGGCTATAATAATGAAAATAGTTTATTCTCAAATAACCAGAGGCAGGCCGATATACAGGCAAGATTAAAATGTTAAAATCGCTAACATATTTTATGTAAACGTTTGTTAACTTGCGCAAATATTTTACAAGATACATTGGCTCCATATAGATGGCTAAAAGTTTTCACATAAAATTAAAATTTTACAGACTGTGAATTGTACAACACGATAGTTGGCGCGATTTACGACCGTTGCGTTGCAACAAACCACTGCTGGTTGAGAACTAATTTACGTAACATCCAGGTATGTATATACAAGAACTGATGAAGCATATGTGCAAAGATCTTGTTGAAATTCGTCAGATAATAAATTTACCGGCTCCTAGGTAAAGTAACCAAATTTTTGGCATTTATCCAGGGTAATGTTTAAAGATTTTGACGAGGTACTGAAAAGGAAATAAAGAGTAAGGGGCGAGGAGCAGAACAGAAAATATTCTTCTTTAAAACTGAATCGTAGCTTAGCAGATAATATTGTTAGATAAAATAAATGTAATGATTACTCAGACCTTTCTTTTTCTGTATTAGAACAATCACTGTACACCTGCTCGTTTACAGGTTTAATGAAGACAAGTCACCAGTAAGGTAACGAATGGGCAAATAACCTAATATATAGAGTACATTCAAAAGAACTCAATTGTTAGAAATTATGTTGATTCATAAGATCCAATAATGAAGGCATACTGATCCGTTCCTTTTGTGATATTTCACTGATTGGTTCTTAACGCTGAAGTTCACGAAGTCATGGGTGAGCTCTTTTTCATCCTATCTATCCAACTACACTTGTAACAGGATGTCTTGGTAGGAAGTGAAACCGGTGCAAAATTCCAAACATGAATTGTAGACGTGGTTGACATTCAAAAGTATCATCAATACCACAGATTAGTTATATCTTACTATATATCATGAGGAGCCGTAAACATACAAAACGTTCTACCACACAGACATGGGAAGATTGAGGTTATCACTCTGGCGTTATGAATGCTGGTTGGATACACCACCCCCCATCCCATGTCTTAACCAACAACACTGGATATAAGGGCATCATCATACGACAAGGAATGGGATGAGGAAACGAAAACCATTGGAGATTCGCAAAATCTCCACCACCTCAAAATTTTATGCACCCTCAACTAAATGGTTGTGAGCGGCACCACACACAAATGTGTACTTAAAGCTACATGAGTTTCACCCGATCACATCCCCAAAAGTGATTCATCACATCTGCATAAATAAAAAGTTCAAAAGGATATTGTAACATATAAGAATACAGCCAATATATCTCCAGATAACTGCTATTTAGTGGCCAAGATGAAAATGAAACTCAGGAAGCTCTGGACAACAGGATAAGCATTCATATCGTTTAATACGGTCTTTATGACAACGAATTCAAGATAGCATTCAGCAATACGTCCCAAAACTTTCAAGATCTACTTGATGGAAAGGAGAATTTTGTAAACAACAACTAGAAGTGGATAGAAAGAGCAATAACCTCAGCATTTTATAAGGTTTGAGGCTGCAAGTACCACTATCACAAGGAACGGATCCCTAAAGATATTCTGGGTAAGCATTGGAGAAAGGCAGGACCGGAACACAGCAAACAACAACAACTGAATAATGGTCGAGGAAGTCAAGGAATAGGCCGAATAGACAGAAACAAACAAGTAAGTGAAGTAGGGCATCACAGCTGATAAGCGAAAGTGTGTGAAATATCTAGCCACGACAACAGAAAAAGCCGCAAGAGAGCTTAAAATCACAAAAGGGAGGGTGATGTATCAGACCAGCAATCATGATGTTGTGGCATTAACGACAATACACCCGTGTCCGTGGAGTAGAACTTTTTGTTTGCTTGCGGTTCCCGACAATATAGCACGAATTAACTAATCGATGAAATTTATGTTGCTTTTTCAAGTCAACCTGTCACAGGCTAATCTGCGCAAATATTCTGAGAAAAAGTTCACCCGTGATTTATTCAGAAACATTGATAAATCGTGAAGTGGAGGACCGACGTCAGACAAGATTGCTTACTCTTACCCTTTATCTTTCTCCTGGTGACTGACGGCATTATTAAGATTTCAATTTATGGAAGGAAGCACGATATGCAGTGGACAGCCGGAATAAAGCTGGACAACCTGAATTTCTCAAATGATCTGGCTCCTCTATAACACGCCAAAACAAATGCAAGAGACGACGACCAGCAGGTCTCAATATACACAAAGGGGAAAACAAGATTCTTCGATACAACACAACAGGCAACAACCAAATCGCTCTTGAAGGAGATGCCTTGAAGGAAGTAAAATCCTTACATGTCTGGGCAGCATCATAGACAACGAAGGTCAAACCGACGTGAGAGAGCGAATCGGCAAAGCAAGGGCTGCATTTCTATTATCGAACAACATCTGGAACTCCAAAAAACTATCAACAAACACCGAAATCAGGATTTTCAGTGCAGTTCTCAAGACAGCTCTGGTTTACAGGGCGGAAACTTGGCACACCAAGAGACCCGTCACCCAATAGATACAGACTTTTATTAACAGTTGTCTTCGCAAAATACTTCGGATTCGTTGGCCAGACAGTATCATTAACAACCTACTGTGTGATAGAACTAACCGGACTGTATTGAAGGGAGAAATCATGAAGAAGCACTAGAAGGTAATAGGACACTCATCGAGGGAAGCTACTGACTGCGTCACAAGACATGCCCTCACTTGGAACCCTCAGGGTCAAAGGAAGGGAGGAAGGTCAAGGAGCACATTACGCCGAGTGATGTAGACAGAAATGAGAAAAATGAACAGCAGCTGGATGGAAATGGGAAGGAAGGTGGAGGACAGAGTAGGTTAAAGAATGCCGGTCGGCAGCCTATGCTCCTTCGGGGGTAGCAGGCGTAAATAAGCACGTAATGTTTGAGAT